GCGGTATGGGGCGAGGAAAAGGAACAGAATGTATACAAACGAGGGAATAGCCCTAGGAACTGATAGGGGCCTGAGGCTAGGCCTCAGGCCGACGGCACACGGTCTGTCATAGCCCTAGTGGCTCGGTATGGACAATAAGCTTGATTAAATAAAATAATAATAATAGGATATCCTGGAATGTATCGGAGTGCTTCGTGTGATAGGCCTTCTCACTACCAGGGAACGTTACCTCTGCCCCTTTACCATGAACGGATCGGAACACGGAGAGATAGAGAGCTATCCCTTGCGCCATATTCATCGGGTTGCTACCGGGTAGGAATCCAATAATGCTGTCCGGACGAACTTCGGCGAAAGTCCAGTTGCTGGACTGCGAGAGCGGCGTTAAAGTGTCGTATTGCGAGTAGTAGAAGGGCTCGACACCATATGGTGCGGGGATTCGCGGCAGGTCCTCCCTCAATGGCGGGGGGGGGGGGGGGTGCGAATTCTTTGTATTCCATTCGGTAGCCCTTTCCTCCGGTTTGCAGGATTACTGCTCGGAGTCCAGGGGCAATTTGATCTAGGGCTCGGATCGAGTTCTCTAGGATCTTGGTGTTGATTTCTTTGAGCTCCGCACGGTTATCCTTGGCAATGTATGCTGTTTTCTTGTCAGACCAGTTGACTGTTCACTGCTGCGGTACACATCGGTTCCATTCTCTTGACGATCCAGATCGCTCGTCTGTCTCATACCTGCGCTCCACTCGTTCGAACTAACTCCCTTCAACCGCTATCAAACTTTCCGTTTGTTCCTTACTCATTAGCCCTGGCACTGCGCGTCTCCTACAGAGAACTACGACTAAGAAAAACGCCACTTTACCGTTCCCAAGCACGAGGTCAGGTGCTGCTTCTTTGCACCGTCCTCGAGGATTTCGGAAACAATTATTGTTACACTAGAAAGCTCGCCCGGCTAGCCAGGAAGATCATCTACGAAATAGATAAGGTTGCCGCTTCGGTACTCCAGGCTCGAAACAAGGACACAGATTCTCCCACTAGCTCAGGTTCTGTCACTGGCTCAGGTTCTGTTTTAAACTCAACTCAAGATAACGCACAAGTCGCTCAGCCTTCCGCGGATTCTGTCTCTGCCATGCCCGAACATCACGATCCTCCAATTAACCGCCCTAGTGTGTATGAACATCGTGATCAATTCAGAGTTCCTAATATACCAGAGTATGAAGCCGAGCAGTACCATGCAGAAAGCTTCGACGACATCTACAAGTTTTCAGACTTATCTGACATGTTCGAGCATTTTGACCCGGACTTCAATCTGGAGACCGTGGAATTTTCGTTACTACAGAATCCGGGACTAGACGCTATTTATGAAGTTGATTTCACTGCTCAAATTATTTGATGGGCATGTTGTATATTGTCGGCCGTGAGCAATGTCCCACCGGCCGACGCGCGAGCCGTTGAACTTTTCGAACCAATTTGACAGGTTGCTTGCAATAGTCTGATTCTTACTGTGGCAGTCAGCTACATCTGAAGTACCTGACCTAGTGATGTTATCAATTATTTTATCGAAAATTTTGCACTCAGCTCTACGGTGTACGGTGTACAGTACACTGCCCCGCTGTGGGGTGGGTAAACATTGCCTCGGAATTGGATTTACGGGTCACCCGAATAGGAAGTTATTCGTTCTGACACTAATCTTTCTTCCAGGTTCTTTGCAGTGTTCCTGAGTTTGCAGAAAGGAATTTACTGGCTTAATTTGAGCATCTTTTATTAAATTCCGGTGTCGCACTTTGCAGCGGACCTATTCCGCCCAACAAGTTGATGTCGATATTTAGTCTTCTTGTGCGCACCTGAGACAAGTCTTCCGCTCCTTCCCACGCCAACAACATACGACACAAACTACCTACGATGCCTCGACGAAATTCAGGGGAGATCCCGTTACCCGATACGTCACCGTCATCATCATCGCACGTGGCCCAGACAGATCAACGCCGATCCATACATGACGAACCTCTTGAAGCCGCGAATTGGACCGACGACCGACCCAAACACAACTAGGATATCACCTAGAGAATAATAAGCGCATGCCTAATGAGCTTTGGAAACGGGATCAACGATATCACTCCAGGAGCCCTCATCCCATACATCGAGAAACGATACAACATCGGATATGCTATCGTTTCTCTCGTTTTCGTTGCAAACGCCGTGGGATTCATTCTCGCAGCGCCGATCACTCACGTACTTGAGAGAAAAGCTGGACTTTCAAAAAGCTACGGAGTTGCCATGGCATCGTTTATTGTCGGCTATGCCATCATTGTGTCTGAGCCGCCATTTCCCGTGGTCGTGGTGACCTGCCTATTGTATGGCTTTGGGTTAGCGGTCAACTTGGCACTCAGCAATGCTTTCTGTGCTACCTTACCGCGAACGACTATTTCGCGAGGCTATTTACATGGTGCCTATGGTGTTGGCGGAACCATTGCTCCGATCGTGGCAACAGGCATGGCGTCGAATGGGATTCGGTGGTCCTTGTTCTATGCGATTCCCTTGGCTATCGCGTGCATCAATATGGTATTCGCGTTGTGGGCATTTTCTCATCGAAAAGACAACCAGCTGCCCCGGATCGAGAGGACTTCATCCAGCGTCACCTCCGAGACTATGTCCCGTATGCAAGTTCTAAAACGGGCCCTACGAAACCGAACAACTCTGCTCGGCGCTCTGTTTATTTTCGTATACCAGGGCGCCGAGGTCTCTATTTCCGGTTAGATTGTGTCATTCCTCATAAGTTATCGGTATGGCGATCCGTCTCAAGTTGGATACGTCAGTGCTGGTTTTTGGGGTGGTATTACAGTTGGTCGACTGTTCCTGACCTACCTATCATCCAGACTTAGGGAGAAGATTTCGGTTGTTATTATGATTGTGGGTTCCATTGCGTTCCAGTTACTTATTTTGTTGATTCCTAACCTCATCGGGGAATCGGTCATGGTTGCTATACTGGGTGTGCTGTTGGGTGCTGCATATCCTTGTGCCGTGGCGGTTTTTACGAAGTTGATCCCAGCGCATCTGCATATCTCGAGTCTTAGCTTCATTACGGCTCTGGGGAGTAGTGGCGGTGCTGTGTTCCCGTTGATGACAGGGTTGCTCTCGCAACAGGTCGGGACTATAGTTCTGCATCCTATCTGTATTGGGTTGTCTGTGGTGATGGGCGTGGCTTGGTTGTCATTGCCGAGGATACCAAAGAAGCCTGAATAGATTTTTGGAAAGTGATCATCAGTGTACATATCAAAAGTCTTTGAACAATGTAGAATATCTTGAATAGAAGGGTAACAGAGTTATGTATGGCACAACTATGCCGTGCATGAATCTTGTGTTTTTCTGGATGGGAATTCATTTTTTTATTCATGAAATCAAAGCGAGCAGAGAATTGTCATGTGGAAGGCAAGGTGGCCGAGTGGTTATGGCGTTGGTTTTAGGTTCACTAAACCACCAATGAGAGATCGCGCGGGTTCGAATCCCGTCCTTGTCAATTTTTTTTTCGGCGTCATCCATCTACTAACCAGTTGGATATTGAGACTCATTCTGGCTCTCTTTTGATCTGTTTTGTGAAATTCTTTTCTTATATTGTTCCAACGGTAGCACATTGAGAGGGGGCCTTAAGATGGGGCGTACTACCTGTGTCAATCGATGTTTATAATTTGTTCCAAACTCCGTCCACATTATAAAGCATGGCCCAGTATCACTCAGGTTAATAGGGTTGAGAGTGGGGAAATTTGAGTCGAGATAATTTTTAAACTAACAAGCAATCTCCAATGCGATCAAGCTATTTTTGTACTTCCTCACTCTGCCATATTCTCATTCCACAATATAGTCAATCACAAACGAATCTATCCCATCGTCAACAGTGATGTTCCTCTCATCCCGATATCCCCACCGTTCAGTCACCCAACCGGCTTCCTCATCAACCACAGTCCCCTTAATTTCATAGTGAGTGGTGGGAAGTTTCGAATTCAACAACCACGCACAATACTTAACCCCCTCACGCGTGAACAGGAACGTATTAAACGTACCCATCAGCGACACCTGCACCTCAGCCGAGTAATTGCGCTCAATATCCAACGGCACGTCCCTGATATATCGGAGTAGGATATGTTCCCAGTAAACATCGCCCACGAGCCGGAAGCTTGCCCGAGATCAGGTACTTGAGGACCTCGGTTCGGGGCTTGCTATTGTCACGTTTCACGGCGTTTGTAATCAGCCTGAACTGTTCCCGGAGCCACTCCTCGCCCTCGGGGAGCCGTGGATCGGTGACCGTCACGTAGGGGCAGGTTTTAATGATATACTCAGCAATGAAGCGGTGGTTGTTGTCCAATGCGAGCTTTAAAATCGTGAGCCCGTCGTTATCGCGGGCTTCCACGTCTGCGTTCTTCGAGAGAAGACATTTCACTGCTTCGAATTGCCCCGAGACAATGGCTGCTAACAGCGCGGTGGTGCCGTTCCATCTGCTGTTTACGTCCACGTCAGACGAGAGTCCCTGCTGGATGGCTTCGATGTTGCCGGCGCGTGCGGCCCTGATGAGCTGCTCGGCACTGGTCGGGGCTGCGGTACCGATTAGGACGCCGCGGGAGGGCTTGACGTAGGTTGGGACATCGGATTGACGGATGGTGATCATTTTGGAAACATATGGTAGTCGAGAACCCTGAAATGGACATTTTATGCTTTTCAGGGTTTGCTTCTTGTGGCGAGACCCCTGAAGCTTAAGGCGTTAGTGCCTGAGGCTTCAGGGGTCTCGCCGTTGGCCCGAAAATTCAGGTAAAAACATCTTACTGCCTAAACTTGTATAAAAACAGGCGTCTTTATAACTTAGAATAAGATGATATTCTATAGAACTGAGTTCTTTCACCTTCTATGTAGTCTGTATACTTATTTCTATATCTTTAGATCCTATATCTAGCATTCTAGCTACACTGAACATTTGGGCGCAAGCCCTGCACCGAACGAACCCGTACCGAACATCTTCGGTGGCGGGTTCAATTTTTCGGGACCGCAAACCCGCAGCGGGCGGTCCAGATAGGGCTCGCGATCGCCCGAACTTAGCTCTAATTTAAACTGATCAACCCAATAAAGATGCTGATCGTGTGGCGAGTTATTGAAAATTTCGGAACCATTGATTTTATGAACTTTCTTCCTTCCCCTCAGCCGCATGTTGCAGGATATGGAATAATTATTTGAATATTACTGAGATATCCTGTGTTCGAAATATAATTTCATACAGTTAATTGAATATCCCAACTTAACTACTTTAGTAGTTCGTTATTTGGAAACTATTGAAACATTATAAGTCAGGTTTGATACTCAACAATACAATACATAGAAAGTTGCTAACATGACATGTTCTTGAAGCGAGTGATAAAAGTGGCGCGAATGTATAGGCTTTGGATTACTCATGAACCAATCGCAACTGATGGCAAATTATGTCGGGATGCAGTCTACACATTTTACAATTGTTAAACCAAACATGTCATATTGTTAATACTATACAAACAGTCTAACCACTAACGTCACATACTGCCTAAGAAGAAGAAACAGGACACAACCGTCCATTATTATTCCACGAATAAGGCACCGGATCTGTCGTCCGAACCTCCCAATCCTCCGCCCCAACAGCCGTCAACGCAAAGAACAACCCCGTAGGATCATACTTCTGCTTCAACGCATACAGCCGCGGATAATGCGAGCCGTAAAACGCCTCCTGCAGGTTCGGTTCCAGCAGATCCGCCTCGCTCATGTAGGCGCCCGAATCCGGCGCGATGTCGCGGAGAGTGTCCATCCAGCTTGTGACGAAGTTGGTCGACTCCTTGACGACGTCCCAGCTGGATGTGGAGTTCCATTCTTGGCCGACGATGACGTGCGCGAGCGCGTCGCGCCAGGCGGGGAGCACGGAGGTGTCGGTTGGTGGGGAGACGGCGATACCGGTGCCGCTGATGTGGAAGCCGGCGATGAAGAGACCCTGTGAGATTGGTTAGTGGGGACGTTAATGGGAGGGGTGGAGGGGCAGGGATGCGGACTTGTTCAATGGCGTCTCTGTGTGCGAGAGCGGTGCGGTTACGGAGGCTGTCGTCTTGGAAGACCTTTCGGGGCATCAGACGGGAAGCGGTCTTCACGACTGCGGTGCCGCCGGCTTCTTGGGGGAAGGCAACTACCCAAGCGTCGTGGCTGGAAGATGTTAGCTGGACCCTACAGACCGGTAGAAGGAAAGACGAACAAGTTGTCGGCGTGGTTGTACCACGGGTTATAGGTGACGTTCAGGCTATCCAGTTTGTTGAACCACGGGGCAAGCAGCTCCTTGGTCTCGGCAACAGTCATGTTCGGAGCGACAAACGACTCCATACGGAAGTAATAGTCGGTGCTACCCTTGTAGTCTGTTCCGATCATGAAGGCCGAAGCACCGACATAGTAGTAGCCGTAAGTGCCAGCATCGACGAACGTCTCAAAATGGTCAAAGTATGACTGAACCGCGGACCAGAAATATTCTGGTCCAGGGGTGTCACTGAGAGTGAAGTTGAATGTAACAGTGGTAGTAGGCAGCTTGGGATAAGCCTTGATGGTCCAGGACGTGACAACGCCAATGGTGCTGCCACCACCTCCACGGAGCATGTAGAAGATATCGGCATTCTGCTTAGCGGTGGCAGTGATGTAGCGGCCATTAGCCAGAACAACTGTATTATTTCTGTCAGTGAGCCCCCAACACGGGTGCATAGAATGAACATACCTTCAAGAGCGAGGACCTGGTCCGCACCAAGACCGTAGAGACTGCTCAAAGGTGAGTGACCGCCACCGGCAGTGTATCCACCTCCCAGACCAACAGTGACAGCTTCACCACCAATGACGGTCACATCGTGGGCCTTAGCGAACTCGTACGCTTCCCAGACCTGAACACCGGCGCCGACCTTCATGGCAGGGCCAACGTAGCCATCATCGGCCTTGAATTCGGAGTAGAAAGCCTTATCCTTGAGCCAGTGGGTCCAGATGGAAAGAGCACCCTTGCCAGATGCCTTTCCATTGAAATCATGACCGGTGTTCTTCACCACCAGACGCAGGTTGAGATTACGGGCAAAGTTCACAGCCAACTGGATCTGAGCGACGCTGGAGACATTGACAACGTAAGACGGGTAGGCCCCCATCTTACAGGTATCAGTGTAGTTGAATCCAGACGCCATGCAGGTACGACCCTCGTACAGGGGCAACATGATGGAGGTGGGATCACCCATGCTGTGAAATGTTAATTATCACACCCGTTTGAAGAGAAAATTGAAAGCTTACTGTAGGTCAGAAGACGTCCATTGCGACGCAAGCTCGGTGCATTTGTCGGCATCATACTCAGGCCAGTCGGGATAACAGACGGCAGCGAGGGGGGATGCTTTGATCAACCGTCCGCCGAGGAGAAGATCAAAAATGTCCCAGACCAGGTCAAGTGGCCACCAGAAGTCACCGGGCATGAGCTTGCAGCTGTGTCGCGCACTTCTCTTGGAGACACTTGAGTCCGATGAGCTGTCTGCAAACACAAACATGTTTGACAGCGTCTTGTTCTTTAGCGTAGCCGCAACATCATCCAAACATTCGTCCGTTAGTTGGACGGTCTCACTGCTGAAAAGAGACGGGGCAGCCGTGGCACTGGTAGTAACAGTAGTCGCAGCCGGAGTCAGAGACACAACAGCCGTTGTGCCTTGGGCATAGGCCGATGCGATCACCGAAGTGGTGAGCACGCTGGCAAGAGCACCCTTCATTGTGTCTGCCGAAAAGATGTCTCGCAAGACAGAAGTATCACAGGGGTTGGAGAAGTGAAAATTGGAATTGGGGATGTGAGCGCATTGCGATAGAACAGAGAGTACTTCCTCTATTTAAAAGCTCACATTTGTGAGTACTAGGCGCGCATTGTGGCCATTCCACCCACGTGGCAGTACTGACTACCGTGCGAATCGTCCGATGTTCCCCTTAGTCTTCGCGCTGAATCCTCATATTTGACTAGTAGACGTCGCTAAACAGCAAAGAAGGAAAGCCAATATAGAGGCCTCCGTAGGGTAAGGGAAGTGGAGATTCATCCACCCGCTAGTAGATGCTAATGGCGAGCTAAAAGAGTGCTAAAACTGGAAATTAATCTATTTGAGCCTCTCGGCTAACGCCTGCTTTGCGACAACAAGGCTATTGTTATCTTGGCAGGCGCAAAAAACATCGGCGGCACAGCTGAATGTCCTAGGTAGGTATCAACAGGTGAAAGAAGGATTCGGGTTAAAGTTTATCAGATGTGCATTCTTGCGAAACCGAGTTGGACATCGGAGTCTTGTCGCGGCCGTCGAAAAACATACGGAATAAACCGAGTATCCATATCAACGCGCTAAAAGTTCTTAGGGCGAGAACTAAGAAGGCCCACCAAAGTTGGAATTTCAGAACAGACCATCCGGGCGTCGCTCATTTCCCGATTTTCACCTGTCATGTCTATCCATTGCCACATGCGGTGGCAACTGTCAATCACCCCCGGAAAATCTAGGATGAGGGCCCCTCTTACTCCCGTGGTCCGTGATGAGGTATATCAACTTCCAAAGAACCGTGTTCGAGTATTTCAAGAATCCTTGCAACAACAATACCGCTCTCGGTACTCGAAAAATCCTTCAAACTCTAATACCGACCAAGTCATGAATTAAAATTGCATTGTAATCTCCTGTTGTTGGAAGCCTACATGGGCTGCATTAGCTGCTGTTGCTAGTCGACGTTAGGACAAATTAAGGCCTCGTGGCGAACGTTCCGGTCGTTCCGAAGCCCTAAGTGCGAACGTCGTTAACTTTTCATATCGCTCTATCGGATGCCGAGGCTATCGAGTACGGCCGGTCAAACGAAGTAGAACACTGAGACATGGTCTAGAACCCACTCCTAGGCCAACATCGGAGCACCACTCGCTCCGGGTACGAATTCCGCTGCTATAACACATCCCCGTCTAGTCGGGTCCGAGCACTAGTGGGACTCACAAAGTCCAATTGTTATGATCTAAGAATAAGCACCGGACGGAGTGCACAAACCCTGTGTAGGCCCTGCCCCCGGGTGGGTAGAGGATGGGTTCCAGAAATTCAGACATACATGTGCGCAGGAATATCTCGCCGAAGGATCGTAGCATCCCTGCAAAAACGCGGTCTTGATGTAGCAATTACCGATTCCTGCATGTTGTATATTAAAGAAATGAAACCGGCCTGCTCCCCCGGAAGTGAGGGTACTTGATCCTTGTCCCTTGGCTGCATATCCATTTTGTCTCTCTCAGACTTTCAGATGGCCCCGACAGACAACTTGCAGTCCCAGGCTATTGGTCTTATCTTTGGTTTCCCGGCCGTGGCGACTGTTGCTGTCGCTCTGCGTTTGTACAGTCGACTATTGACACGAACATTCGGGCCTGGTATGCCTGTCCTCTGTCTAGATTTATTCCTAAACGTCCAGCTAACTTTGCGTAGATGATTGGGTGATTTGCTTCGCGGGAGTGAGTCAAACCAGCTTCTGGCAATAGGTTGTTGAGCTAACAGATTCTCGCAGGCCCTCTACTGGGCCGAAACAGTGACTTCATTTTATGGTATGTTGGACAAAAAAATTTTTTGGAAATCGAGTCAACTAAGATCAATAGTCATCAAATACCAATATATCGGCTATCATGTCTGGGATGTTCCAAAGAACCCACCAACAGTCCTGGGAGCCAAGTTTGCCTACATGGTACGCATCTACCCGAGTAACCGCTCCTATCGATCTTTAACACAATATACAGACCGAGCTTCTATACAACCCCATTCTCGCCCTCGTCAAAACATCTATTCTACTCTTCCTCCTCCGCCTCACCGGTCAAAAGACAGCAGTCCGACAAGCGATATGGGCACTGCTAATATTCAACGGCCTGGCGATGATCGGGACTTTCCTGGTCACAGCCTTTCACTGCTACCCTGTTGCAGCAAACTGGAACCCAGCCGCTTATCCCAATGCTAAGTGTGTCAACTTTGCGGATTTCGTCACCGGAACGGCTGCCGTGTCCATCGTGACCGATGCTCTGGTATTGATGCTCCCGACGTGGATTGTTTATAATTTGCGGATTCGACGCAAGCAGAAGATTCTGCTGATTGGGATCTTGTCTTTTGGTCTAATGTACGGATCAACCCTCCCCCCCACCTTTTCACAACATCGCCTTAGAAAATGGTTCTCTGATTGGAATTTTCTTTGTTGTAGTACTGTTATATCCGGAATCGTTCGCGTTGTCCTCCTCGACCGTTACGATCGCCACCTCCCTGAAGATTACACCTACTCGGTTCTCTTCTGTCTTTCGACGATTGAAGTCGGGTTGTCCTTCATCGCAGCCTGCGCGCCATCGTTCAAACCGCTCGTCATGATGATCATACCGAAGATGTTTGGCACGAAGAGCCAGAGCGGAGATAGATATAACGGGGCGTATAGTCGGAGTGGACCGGGCTACGCATTGGAGGATCGATCGAAGATGTCCCGTCGGACGCATAACGGAAACAACACGACGCAGATTCAGGGAGGCGAAGAAGTCACAGTGTCGAGTCCTAGGAGTCACAATGACAAGAATGGAATTATGATGACGACAGAGATGGAGGTTAGGTGGTATGGCACTAGGCAAGTCAATGACGGAAGTAGCACGGAGAGTTTGATGCAGCCTGTGAGATGACCTCGGGGGCGACTGCTGAGTTCTGGTCTTTTGGGAGGATATCTGATCGTGATTTTATTTCCTTTGTTATGTAATTTAATGATTTTGAAAGTCGTTTGATAAAAGATAAATGGAAATTAGGCAAGGACTAGTAAATCGAATATCGTACCCTAGAGGCTTGAGTATACCGTATAGCGAAAGAGATATTGTGTAGCAATTGACGTTTGTTAATGTCTCAGACAGAGTCATACAGCTGGCTGAGGAGGAATTATCCGTCGATATCGTGAAACGTCCGTTGACAGTGCAAGCGAAACTGCATTAATGACTAACAAACCCGATGCTGTGACGAACCAAATGAGTTGAGTTGCATTAAACGTGGAAAGGTCCACTAGACACAAAGTTAGGATAAACTATATAATGAATAAATCTGACAATGCGTCCAACTTCCAGCGAGACAGTCAGGACAAACAGGACAAACAGCTCCAATTACCAAGTGACCTCGAGGTGGCCGACCAGCCAACGGGCGTGCTTCTAAATTTAAACAAAAATGGACCCGTTGGCTAACCTACTCACAGCTCTCTTCGCAGAGGAGATTCCACTCGTGCTCTATCGCCATCCTACATGGGACCAATGTGACTTTATCATAAGATACGCGCGAAGATGCCCGAAAACGGCCATGCGGCACTACGTACGTTCTAAAATTGATCAATACTCAGTCCGCCCATGTTTGTTCGCGCGTCACGCTCAGGAGATGCTGGATACGAAGCTTGCGCAAACTCCATTTGCAGGTGTCCCTTTTATTGAGAGAGACTCGTTGACGTAGGTTGTGTGATAGTGGATGGGTACGCTATAGGGTTGCATCCCGAGGGGTACGACGAGGACCCAAGGTTGCATAATAACGGGGTGAAGCACGCTTCTAAGTATGAGTGGGAGGCCATCGAAAAAACAGCGCTCACAGTGCTAGCGACTAGTGCGATTATCCGTCTTGACCTCGATACCTTATTTTGGGCAATAAATTCTAGCGTGGAGTTGGGAAAGGAAAGCACACGACTTCAATGGGGGCTCGCTTTCTTCGTGGCGTGCCGGGGAAACAAAGAGATGGCAACCTTGTTTGTGGATCAGACAAGGAAGACAAAGAAATCGTGGATGTTCCACAATGTGTTCTCTTTGGTGGATGAAGCCGCAATTCATGATAATAAGGACGTGTTGGAGGTGCGGCTCGATTATTTGAGGCGGGTGAATGACAATTATCTGCAGCGTATGTTGGCTGGTTTGATGCACTTATTGGTGCTACATCCGGGTTTTACGATATTTGATTTCGTGTCTAGGTGGTTTGATGGTGATATAGCTGCTTTGCTTTATAACCATCTGATGAAGAACGCTGAAGATGGCTGTGTCTTTTTGAGTATAGGAATTATGAAACATGGGAGTTTTGACCATGCCATGTCTACAAAGAAGTACCCGCATGGGCCGATCTTTACTGTCATGTGGTTACGGAGGCACAAGCCGCGAGTGTCTATGCTGGAAGATCTATTATTGGCCGGAACTAACCCGGACGGAAGATACCCTGGCGTGAGGGGGACGCCTTTACAGGAAGCTGTCAAAAAGTCTGACCTGGACATAGCCAGCACATTGATCAGTTTCGTCGCAGATGTAAACGCATATTGTTTCCCTCGTCGCAGGCGCAAACGACAGAAAGTGCCTCTGTTAATCGTGGCAGCTCGGAGGAAGGGCTCTCAGATAGTTCGATTTCTCCTGGACAATGGAGCGGACCCAACAAGTAGGTATTGCGAAAGATGAGAAGCATGGGTATTTTGTCCAGAAAGAAGTCGAAGTCGATAAGAGAGAGGCTGAACTGGGTCACCGCCCAGAATGATCACAAGGTCATTTAGCATCCGGATACGCAAACATCCCTTTGTTTTTCTTAGAATATCTCTTAGCAATTAATCATCAATGATAGCGATCATCTTGAGATTACTCAAACCTACCCTCCTCAATTCAACGTAGTGATTAAGTGCTCCAACGGCCTTGGCATGCCATGGAGGTAATTACTCACGCAAAGCGTACATACATACCTAGACCACACGATATCAATTAGACAAGATCATAACATGCGGATTATCATCCCTCGCTATACTCCCCTACATAGCCAACTGTTTCGCGACCTCAATACCCGGAAACCGATCCCTAATAACCTGAAACTTCTCCAGCAAAATATCCTTACAAACCTGCTGTAAATTATGAAACGAAAAGACCACCATCTTCATAAAAACAATATCCTCAATCCGACACATTGTCTCCTCCAACGTCGCCTGCGGCAAATGAATGACCACATCCGCAATCGTATTAATGATCTCTAACAACTTACTCAAAATCGACGACCCATGCACCCGGATCGTATTCTGCGAGATCTTCGTCAAGAACTGTCTCAACTGGCTGGATAGTCGCAGGGGCAGCTCTAGCGAAAGCGACGGACACGAAGCATGCGACGACAGCAGACAATTCGACATGGCCATTTGCCATAACAGTGTGCGCATCCACTGTCTCGTGATCACGAGATCAGCCTGCTGCGTTTCAGATAACATGGAGACTTCGAGCTCCCAGAGCGTGTCGTCTAGTTCGCGGTATTTTTGCTCCACCCAGCTCGCCGTGACGTGGCTGCGGTCGCCGATCCAGAGGCTGATGAATGTGGGCTCTAGGAGGAGGAAGGTTTTGATTACTTGTGTCCAGCCTTGCGAGATCCCGACCGGGAGAGATGGGTCTGTCTCGGGGAAGGCGGCGTGGGAAGACAGAGTGGCGGGTGAGAAGTGCACGATAGACATGAATCGCTCGTGGATGAAACAGAGCCAGTAGAGTCTTTGGCGTCGCGAACGCTCGGTGAGACTTAGGCTGGCGTGGACGGCTTTGTCTTCGACGCGAAGGATGTGGATCATGCTGATTGCTTCGCGGAGGTAGAAGAAGCCGAGGTCGTGCTGGCCGAGGCTCATGAAGCACATTTGGATGAAGACGCTTGTCATGGCGCGGAGGACGGAGGGGCGGAAGCCAGGAAGGAGGGGGTGCTGGGTCTCGATGGATTTGCGGACTAGTGAAGATATCTGCTTGGATGCTGTTGATGTAGAATGCCTTGATTGCGTCAGGTCTATGGTCCCCGCTGCGAAAGCGTAGACAAAAGCTGCGTGTTCGTTGTCGGTGTCCATCTTCTCGATGGAATCCTGGACCTCTTCGGCTGTCATGATCGGGTTGAAAGGATACACAAATATCAGATACTCTGGAATCAAGCCGAGGAAGTAGGAGCTGGAGAGAGATAGTCCTGGAGAGGGTGAATCCTGGATCGGGGTCTGCACAGGCTCCGGATCGACCTTGTGGCCGCCATTCCGATATTTCGAGATGATCTCGCCCCGTCTTTGGGCGTGTTTTCTCGAGCGAGCGAGCTGGTTGGGAGTATACGTGCAGAGTAAATCCAGGTGCTCGCATTGCTGGCACTGCTGCTGTCCGTTACACCGCACTTTCCGACGACTACAGGCGTCGCAAGCCTTTGACACTCGTCCTCGGCGACTTTCCATGCTCTCTTGATTATAAAGACCGGGATTAACTACTTCATGCACGACAGGGCTGTGGTGCAGATGTGGTGAAGTGATTACCTCTGACCGTTGGCGAAGTTGGGGTAATCCGGGGATGACAGGGAAAAGACTAGAGATTCGCTAGAGGCAGCGCTAGACATGCCTCGCCTTGCTGATTAATTCCTGTGTAGCATCAAGTCCACCAATCATACAACTTCACTAGGCAATGGTGTCAATTTGCAATTGATTCCAGTCATGGACGAATATCACTAAGATGAAAGTAGCCGAAATTGTTCAAACCCAGGCCCCTATCTATTCCTCTACAGTCTAACCTCTATGCCGCTGTTAGACCTTGTTAACCAAATAGGCTCTTCCCTCAAATGAGAGCAACTCATCACTGGAGCCATTCTCCACATTACTGAACAGCAGACTGATGTCCTGACCCTCTAACGCCGCTGGCTTCTCGAACTTCTGCGCCTCCTCCGAGAAATTGAGCACCAGGAGAACAGTCCGGTCCTGCGACTTCTTCAGGTACATAAAAGTCTTCTCATTTGCCTCATCCAGCAGCTCAAACGTTCCAAAGACAAATACATCCGCATACTGCTTGCGCCACTGCAGGGCGGCTTTCCAGAAACTCAGCACCGACGCCTTGTCTTGCTCTTGCTTCTGAATGTTGATATCAGGATGCTCGTCATGCACACGCATCCAGGTCTTTGCGGACGCCGTAGGCGAGAATCCAGCATTCGGCTCTGCGCTCCACTGCATAGGCAGACGTGCATGGTCTCTTGCCAGACGTTGCAGGGCCTTCATGCCAATGTCCAACTGGACTGTGTCATTGTTGGTCGTGTCGCGAAGCATCTGGTAGAAATTGATGCTGTCGATATCTTTGTATTCATCGATGCTCCAATGTTCCGGGGCATTGATCATCCCGATCTCCTGGCCCTGGTAGACAAACTGCGTGCCAGACAAGGTACACTGCATCAGAGACAGCATTTTCGCCGACCGTATGCGCAACTCGGGCGTCTTGTCGGATCCAAACCGGGACACCGAGCGCCCCTGGTCGTGGTTCTCCATGAACACCGTCGTCCAACCATCCGTGCCGTCAATGATGTCTTGCGTGCCTTTGATCGCGGTCTTGAGTTCTGGTAAGGTCCACCCGGGCAAGGTGGTCAGGTACTTGTAATCCTTGCCCATACCGAGGTCCACGACGTCGAATTGGAATACCATGCTCAGTTGGCTCTGCGCGGCAGAGACGTACGCCAGCACGCCGTCCAGGGTGTGCGTGTTTGGTAATTCTCCGACCGTCATGGCGTCATACTTGCTTAAGATGGCATTCATCTCACCCAGATACTCGTGAATCCTCGGTCCGTTGCAGAACAGCGACGCCGCAACCTGCGTGTCGGCCTTGGGGTCCACGACCGGAGCATCAGGCAGACCCGGCTGCTTGCTATACATGTTCACAGTGTCGACACGGAACCCGTCCACGCCCTTCTTCAACCAGAACTCCATCGCGGACTCGTACACCGCGCGTCTAGTCTCGGGATTCTCCCAGTTCACGTCCGGCTGCTCCCGCACAAACAGATGCAAGTAGTACTCCTGCGTCGTCTCGTCCCACTCCCAAGCACTGCCGCCAAAGATACTCCGCCAGTTATTCGGGGGCCGGCGCGTGCCATCGGCGTCGTATTTTGCCGGTCGCCAGATATACCAGTCGCGTTTTGGACTGGACTTGGAGGACCGCGACTCCTTGAACCAGGCGTGTTGGTCGGAGGTGTGGTTGACGACGAGGTCAAGGATGATGCGGAGGCCGCGACGATGACACTCGTCGATGAGGACTTGCATGTCCTGCACCGTGCCGTAGGGCGGGTAGACGCTCTCGTAGTCGGCGACGTCGTAGCCCATGTCATGCTGTGGGCTGTCGTACATGGGACTCAGCCAGACGACGTCCACGCCCAAGCTGGTGATGTAGTCCAGCGAGGAGATGATGCCGGGGATGTCGCCGATGCCGTCATTGTTGGAGTCTTTGAAGCTGGCTGGGTAGATTTGGTAGATGACGGCGTTTTTCCACCACTTTTGGTCGACGGGGGCGGGGGACATAATCGGTCAATTGAAGGGGGATGTTAAGAGGGCGAGAATGAGAGTAGGAGGAGTGAAAGTGAATGGATTGCAATCGACATGGCGAGGGGGGAGAGGTATAATTCTTTATAAATGTCGGTGATATGTCCGAGCACAAGGGATCATCGGGAGTGCCAGCTGTCGCGATATTCGACACCTCCATCGCCTCGCTGATTGAGTCAATGTCGGCCCGACTTGCAGCTGCACGCGCCAAGGCCAGCATTCCTGCGGGGGTGCCAAGCTCACTATTAGTGCTGCATTTCTTGGAAGACATGCACGCGGAGAATCCCTCTTCCCTGGTCGAGGGACAGTGGACACGCTTCCCAGGAACCTCATACGACTCTCAGATGACCCGGTCGAGGACCAGCGACTAGTCCAGCCACCGCGGGGAGAACGACTGCGCACATCACGAAGACAACTAGGGGCATTTTAGGGCTTCGTCACGCAGGCGATATCGGGCCGAGATGGAGCCAATCACCGCGCGCACACGGCACGGAGAGTTTACAAGCGAGCAGCCGGGAATTTGGGTCGCGGGATCGAAACATGTCGCCACCGAGGCGAACGAGCCAGATGGCCGGTTTCTCAGGCCTCTGGTCTCGTGTGCCTTGATTTTCCCTGTCGGCCCGACATACGAGTACGACCAACGGAAGGGATGGTCTGATCGAGTCAGAATCCGGGGATATCGAGTGATTTCTCTCCCCATCCACCGACAGAATCCGGGGAAGTATTTGACGCTACAGTTAGTGTGAACGGGCACTAAGGCTTAGAACCGGACGGGGGAGCCAATGGTGCTGCTTGAGGGCATCGGGCCAAGAGAGTCTCGACAGGCTGACAGCTCTACTTTGGTGATGGTATGCATTCTGACCCTGGGGGTTTGAGACATTGAGGCGGGCAATTGGACTATATAAAAGGGCTACAATTTCCGGCTCTAGAGATATTGGTAGGAGTGCTCGTGTTTGCAAAAATTCTGTGTCCTCTTTGAGATATCTTTCAAGTCTACTGAGCCTCTGCAGGCATTCAGCGTCAGCCATGGCGTCCGACAAACACCCCAACACCGAACACCTCGAGGAGAAGGACGGCATCAGCGCCAACCCTGACCATGTATCTGACCATACTGAAGTTCATGCCAGCAGCGAGGCTCAAGCAGCTCTGGAAAAGGAACACAACATGACCTTGCTGCAGGCCTTGAAGATCTACCCCAAAGCGGTCGGATGGTCTATCCTTCTTTCTTGCGCCATCATCATGGAGGGCTACGACGTCGTCCTGATCGGTTCTTTCTACGCTTTCCCTGCCTTCAACCAAAAATACGGTGGCTTGATGTCCGACGGTTCTTACGGTCTCACGGCGGCCTGGCAGGCCGGGTTAACCAACGCCATGAGCTGCGGACAGATCATCGGACTGTTTCTCAACGGCATTGTGTCGGAGCGCTTCGGATACCGACGCACTCTGATGGTTTGCCTTGCGTCCACGGTGGGCATCGTCTTCATCCTGTTCTTTGCGCCGAATGTGCAGACCCTGGTCGCCGGGGAGCTGCTCATGGGCATTCCGCTGGGCGTGTACCAGACGCTAGTGGTGACGTACGCGTCTGAGGTGTGTCCTGTGGCGCTGCGAGCATACCTGACAACCTACGTGAACTTGTGCTGGGTGCTCGGGCAATTGATTGCATCGGGTGTCCTGAAGGGTCTGGCCGATCGCACCGACCAATGGGCCTACCGGATCCCCTTCGCCATCCAGTGGGTATGGCCGGTCCCCATTTTTATCGGAGTCTACCTGGCCCCCGAGAGTCCGTGGTGGTTGATTCGCCAGGATCGACGCGAAGACGCTGTCAAGGCTGTCAAGCGACTAACCAAGGCCGGGCATCCTGACTTCAGCGCCGAAGAGACCGTCTCCATGATTGTGTACACCAACGCCCTCGAGAAACGCGTCGAGACCGGAACCTCATACCTAGACTGCTTCAAAGGCGTGGATCTCCGCCGCACCGAGATTGCCTGCTGCGCTTGGGCCGCCCAAAGTCTCTGCGGTGCCGGTTTGATGGGCTACTCAACGGTGTTTTACCAGCGCGCGGGCCTTGCCATCTCGCAGTCTTTCACCATGTCTCTCGCCCAGTACGCCATTGGGGTCGTGGGCACGTTTCTCTCCTGGACGATGATGATCTACTTCGGTCGTCGCACCCTCTACGTCGGAGGACTTGCCTTGCTTGCCGTCATTCTTCTTGTCATCGGCTTCGTCTCAATCCCTCCCTCTACTTCTGCCCTCTCCTGGGCCACGGGCTCGATGCTTCTCGTCTACACATTCATCTATGACTCTACGATCGGCCCGGTCTGTTTCTCGCTGGTCTCGGAGATGCCTGCGTCCCGACTACGGACTAAAACTGTCGTGCTGGCTAGAAACGTGTATAACATATTGAATCTCGTCACGGGGATCATCATCCCGTATATGCTGAACGTGGACGCGTGGAATTGGCGCGGCAAGTCGGGTTTCTTCTGGGGCGCGCTGTGCATTATTTGCTTGACTTGGTCGTTCTTTAGGTTGCCGGAGCCGAAGGGACGGTCTTATGCTGAGTTGGATATTTTGTTTGAGAGGAAGACGAGGACTAGGGAGTTTGCAAAGGCTAGGACGGGTTTGATTGAGGCGGATGGGGACGGGATGACGAAGGTTGCTGTTTGAGCGTGCTCAATCTCTGACACATCTTGATGATTGAACTATGCTGGTAGTATATAATGTTATTTCTGTGATCGCTGATCAATCCATAATCTATATCATGTTGCTCTGTGTTCACGTCCCATTCTTAACATCCCACAAAAAAGCTATCTCCACCGCGGAAAACTCGTAATGAGCCTAAGCCGCAGCAGCCCTCCCCCTCGCCAACTCGAGTCTCTCGCGATGCCACTAAATCGTCAGCTCAGTGAATCAATTTCCCGCAAACCAACAATCCACATACCTTTCCGCACGAAATCGGCTCAAACAAGGCCGGATGCTCATCATCCACACAAGTCGACACAACTTCGCACACTGCTTCGGGATTAAACCCCACGAAGAACGGCATCGCATACCGCGACGTACTGCGACGATTGTAAACCCGATGAACCGTCGACTTGAACCGATTATTCGACAGCCGCTGCAAGAAGTCCCCGATGTTCACTACCAAAGTTCCCTCGATCGGTCGTGCATCGAGCCACTCGTCGTCGCCTGATAGGACCTGCAACCCGCCGGACATGTCCTGCCATAAGAGTGTGAAGCATTGGATGTCTGTGTGGGAGCCTATTCCGTTATCTACACTCTGCTGTTCGTTGAGGTTAGTGGCGGGTGTACCGGGGTAATGAATATATAAGCCATCAGCGCCCGGATGCGTAATGATGTTATCGAAGTAGTCTTCCGGGAGGTTCAACGCCAGCGCGAAAATTCGAGTCATTTTTCGCGCGAGAGTTAGCCTCCGTTGCCAGAAATCTATCGTCACTTCGCGGAATCCTGGCAGATGGTTCGTTTCGTTCCAGAGATTCTGGGTGTAATTTCGCTCGTCGTGGGTCAGGTCTTTTGGGTTGGATACGATGGGATCATTTTCGGGGTGATAGCGCAGGGAGAAGGTTTCTTTGCGATCTGTATGCACGTATTTCTTAGCAGGTCGCTCGATCCTCGAGATAGAAAGAGAGATGCAAATGTACCCTTCGTTTCCGACTTATTTATCTGCGTCGTTCCCACTCCAAAATACCCATCTGAAATCCTCTGTTTGTCTTCTTCGGATTGTCCAAAGAACGCCTTTGCCTGGACCAACGCATTCTGTATCACTTCCTCTGGTATTCCATGATTGCTGATATAAAAGAATCCGATGTTTTCTGCCGCTGCTCGAATCCTCCCAGCTAGCTCTTTTCTTTCTTCCAGCGTCCCGTTGATTGCTGTCAGATCGATTACGGGGATCTCATCCTCCGTGGGGGTGCGGGGCGGAGCGGTAGAAACGCGGCGGTATTCGGGGCCATTGAGGGTGCACAGTTCAATTTGAGTATATGTTGATGTTTGCGACATTTTTGTAGATAGGGTGAGCGCGCAATTAGTGTGAAAAGATGGTGTCTTCTACGGGGATGTCGTGGTATTTGTGTCTGGCTTATCGCAGCGACCCCGCGTTTCCTGGTGAGACAATTTTGGTGGATTATGTTGTCTTCCTACACATTAACTTGGCATATCGCCTTGGAGCCATTGTTCGTTAATTTATGTCAGCATTGAGTTCTGGGCAACAATGTAACCCATGTTTTATTTTTAATTAATTAACCAAGCTCTGTAGCTAGCTACTTTCCTCTCTCACTTGCCTACACATACCCTTTAATCCTCAACACATTGCTATGCCCATCCCTAACCGCCTGCTCATAAGCAACTCTATACTCTTTAATCCCCACCGAAAACAGTTGCCTCTTATCCCTCCACCCAACTTCCCTCTTCAACTTCTCACTGCCCACCCACTGCGAGAAGGTCGTCAAGGTCCCAACGACATCAAACCCCATAAACCCCTCCGTCGCCGGCGTTTCATAACGCACCCCGTCCAACGCATACTCCCTTACCAACGCCTCCCCAACCTCCCTGAGTGTCTCAAACCTCCATCCCGAAATATAATAGATCTGCCCCCTCACCACATCCCGATCCGCTTCCGCAATCGCCACATACGCATCCGCGCAATCATCCACATGCGTCCCATGAACCACGCTCTCCGGATGCGCCGGTAACCTCAACACCCGGCTCTCGCTCTCTTCTGCAGCCCTCGCCAGGTCAAAAAATGGACCATAGCAGCTTCCACTTCGTCCGACGACTGTCGTCGGCCCGCGCCGTCATTCCGTAATCTTTACATCCTGGGGTGAATAGCACAAGTGGCTTTAATCCGGCGGCGTATATGAGGGATAAGATGTCTTTGAAGTGGGATTCGTAGTCGTATAGCGAGTCGGTGGTGGATACTATCAAGTCGAAGGCGGATTGTTGGGACAGAAGGTGTGGGAGGAAGGAGGACGGGGAGTATTTCTTCTCGTGCGAGGGAGGCGATGCTGGTGCTTTGGCGCGTTAGGCCGTAGCCGGACCAGCCGGCTCGAATGAAGGCGTGGCACACGGCGTTGCCGATGTAGCCGTTGGCGCCGGTGATGAGGGCTGTTCGGGGGGGTTGGGGTTGTGGTTGTCGGCATGGCTTGCTGGAGGAAGATAAATGTGGTTTAAGGGAGAGGTTTAATCATTGTTATTTGAATTTATGGGAGATTGTGAAACTAAAGATGGCTTATCAATCGAGACTGAGGGGTAGTTATTCCGCGCTAAACGGTATTACTCTTCCTGCGTTGGTTCGTAGACCAATCTGCTTTCGCCGATCAAGGGATAATCGATCACCATCTTCTACCACGATTCTCATCAGCTTGATAGCTCTTAGACATTGAATTTGTCGAGTCGAAGGGTCTTTCCGATTTAAACTAGGTTTAGGAATCAACTGACCCAAAACGAATCAGACAAAGAAGAGAAGAGGCAATAGGGTGTCAGCCATATGGCCCTGGTCCGACCACACGCACGCTTCAATGTTTTCTAGGATTCCTTCTATCCTACACCAAGCGGGCAACTGGACGGCACCACTGCCCGTGCCTTCCTGCTCTGTAAGTAGCGACTAGATCCTGTATTTTGCTTTCCATTGTGTATACAAGACCTCCCAGCGTAGCAGGTCCCCAATTACCCAATGAAGGCTCCAGGAAAGTGGGCGACACACGATCCATATTGAGTCATGTGAATGAGCGCATTTTGCCGATCAGTAGAGATACAAGTAGGCGTTTGATAGGGTTTGCAATTATTCCGGGCATTATTGAGTAAGAGGCATCCAAATTCATCGACTTTCTATATAAGGTCCTGAATCAATCGTCAATATATTGCCTTGAATTCGCGTTTTTAGTTAGCTTTTCGAGGTAGTGAGATACGAACCTGTATAGTCTAGGCATTGCCACAGCAATGCCTCGATCGATCTCAGTTGCGGGTTACGTAGTCCTCGTATTCTCGAGGCAGCAAAACTGAGAAGCTAAATCGAGTCAAATAGCTCTAGTGTATGTTTTGGATACTCACGGGCTTATTTCTGAGACCATCTCGTCCGTGCTGTAGTGGCCGCCTTGAGCCGAATCATAAATGCAACTGAGACTTGTTTCTGCCGAAAAGATAAACCCGGAATTGAGACAATGAAATAAACCTGCTATTATTCAACGGAATTTAAGGAAGCTCTGTTCGGCCGAAACCATGCCTCCGATACCAAAGACCGAGATGTGCATACTCAATGCCAAGCAGACTCCGACAAGTGTGAGTGAGAGGCACCAAGACCATGAAACAATTGCATCGTCAAAAGCATAGACTTTCGTTGGTATTTGCCATCGCCTAGAGTTGCAAATGACCCAGTTAATCCCCGAAAGACTCGCCTTGGAGAATAAAAAAGAAAATTGTAATCAGCTAGCTGCTTGGAAAAACAATTTAGGACCAGAAAAAACAAACGGGGTGAGGAAAACCAAAAGGAAAAAGAAAAGATGGCGCTGGCCGGAATCGAACCGGCGCTGGCACGGCCACAACGTGACGTCCTACCACTAGACCACAGCACCTTGTATATGGTAAATCGTTCAATCTAGGATACTTATAGAGCCAAAAATTACCCGATACCTATTCAGAGCAGTGCTCTGAGGTGTATCCAATTTCCAATTCTTATTCCCAGCGCACTTGGCTGGAGTTACGATAACTTCAATATTAACGAGGACATTTTGACGGTCGGGCATCTGGAGCATTTGCCGACCGAGACAAGGATTTTTAACGCCCGTTGGACTCGCTGTGCACTTCTCCATTTTCCTATTGCTTTATTTGCAGAAGAATAGACAATTCAATTGAAAGCAGCGCTATAGCTCAACAACATTCCGCTGTAGTAAGATTTCCGATCGACGGGCGGCCAACCGGTTATTATCAACGTGAAAACCTTTTCTGGAGGGGGGGGGGTCTCTGATTATCCAGGACAGTATAGCCACCTTCGCTCCTGAATCTGAAGTGGGAATTCCTCCTATAAAAGAAAAGTATCGCCCATCCAGTAGACCGTTACATATTATCCTAGCCTTTATTCTCACACGGTAACATTTTATTTTTGGGGGTGTATTACATTTTTCGATTTGAAGTTTCGCAGATAAGGGCAAAATATATACCAAACGGAAGTGGTAGCAATTAAAAGATATGAAGTAGAATTCCATCCGAGAGAGGGCAAAGCCTTAGCGGAGCCCTGATGAGGATTTGGGGTTTATGGTGAACAGTCGTCACGACAAAATTGAATGTCAAGAGGCAATAGCCAGCTGAAGCGTCCTATCGATTAACATTATTCTCCTTGAAGAGAATGACATTAGTAAAAGCTGGAGGTCAGATAAATAGATATGATCTCCGTACTGAACTCAGCTGCCGCCTTTGCGGTACTTATAAAGAGTCCCTCTCTTTTCAAAACCGGCTGATATACGCACATACTCGATGATTTGGGAGTCCACGTTGTGGATCGTTAATATAAATGTCTGTCTCATCCTGGAGCACCTTGCGAAGTATACGTGTTTCCATGACACTGTGCTAGAGGTGGATCGGAGTGCTCAGGCGGTGATTCGGTGTTGCTGTTAGTCTCCAGATATCTCAAAGGCACTTGATGTATTGGCTATCAAAAGCATCATCCAGAAAGGCATAAGTCACAGGATATCCTGGATGACGCAAAACCCTAAATTGTCGTTTCTTTCGGTGTACGTGAAGGTCGTTCTTTAGACCCAGTCGCTTGAATGTGAGTGTCGGTATTATTATATTGTTCTGGGTTACTCACGCTACTCCTTCATTCCTGTGAGCCTTGTTCAGCCTATGCCGCACCCTCAGAAGAAGTGTATTGGTAGCAGGATTTTCTGGATGCTGCACCATGAGGAGATCTGTATCTATATTTTAAAGGATTGGGGTCATTGATATACGTTGCGCATTCAATCAACGTTCCAGGTCGAGCAGATGTAGAAACCATCATTTTGGGTACGGTATTTAGTTGAAAGATACATCGCATATTTGGGAAGGGAACATTAGTCGATGCAGGTAGGGGATAATTAGTAAATAATAAATCATCGATATTGAACGGAGGTTGATCTCTTCCGGTCCTTATGAGGTCGTATTTGTCCGCGAATGCTTTAACGATCTCCAGAAATCAGTGAAAGACACGTCGATAATTCTTGGCCTAGAGATCTTACACCAGACAGACTCTTTTTGGATTCAAAGGATGTATCCTGTTTCCTCATCCGTTTATAATATGCTGTAAAAAGTCTCGAAGTGGTCTTAAAAGACGATTCCTATTCAACATGATGTTGCTCGAGATACCAGCAAAGTCGAAAGCTCAGGCCAAACTCAACGCGTCGCTCACTGGCACCACATACCATTCCCAGTCATTGTATCCCAGGGCGCAGGAACTACCTTTGTCGGATGCTTTAAGAAGGTCGAAATCTCGTGCTTGCCAGACTTTCTCAATTACTCTGCGCGTGCGCGACACGCTGGATACGCTATATTTCGTCATGACGTCCAGAGTTTGCAAGACCAGTGTCCGACCGTATGTCGGGGTGCCTTCATCTGACCATATCTCATCATCAAGTGGATCGAGCGCTACCGCGGCCACAAAGACTGGCCACGTCACATTGACCACCAAGCCCTGGTCCAGAAACTGGGATACGGTCTTGAGGATCTTGCGGACGTGGACTTTGATTAGTAGTGTCGAGGGTCTTGCATTGTATAATGCGCAATGCAGATACACTCGACAAGCTAGCTGTTTGAGTTCTGCCACTGTTCGTAAAGTTTCGTCGGCATCATCTGTCTCTTGAACGAGACTGCCTAGCCTTTGATTTAATATTGATGCTTTGATGTTGAATGTGACATGGTCTGAGTCGGTTACGAGCTCTCTCCGCGTCTTACTCAAGTCCATGATAGAGAAGAGGACCGATACCAACTCGGGACTGCATCCCATCCACTCGTCAATCTTGTGGTCGTTTTCACGCCAGTACGACGGCCCGAACAGATCTGCTTTCGCGCACGCCGTACGCCCCATCACGTCTTGAAATGCGAAGAACCGTTCTGCGAATGAAGAGACAGGGTGCGCTGTCGAGCTGATTAGTCGTTGGCGGCGCAGCCGGATTATGTCCTTTGCGCCTTGCATGTGGACAATCCATCGCTTGTCGCAGTGATCCACAATCTCATACAAACATAACATCATGATAATCACGAGAACCTCGGGGTCCGCTGACATAACGGAGGCAGGGTTATTGATCAGGTGACGCAGGTCATTAAGGACTTGATTCTTCAAGCGCAGACCAACTGCTTGATGAGTCGAGTTTGTTTGAGACCAGTGACATGCCGCCAGGGCCTGTATAGCCTTCAAGACCGTCGGCGACGCAGTCGAACAGTAGGGCAGAAGAACCGTTGCAAACGGCGACTGCGATTTAAGGCTGGAGATCGTCCGCGGACAAATATGCTTAATATAGTAGTCAAAAAATAAGCTATGCCCCAGACTATCCAGTTCCGGGAATAACGCCAATGATCGCTGAGGACCCTGGGTAGCCAACCGATCGATCTGGCCTAAATCTAATACCCGTCTGCCAGCCATCAGAGACCCGCCGAGGTCATGATTCCCCAGTCCCACATTGCTAGCTGGGAGCAGGTATGGTTCGGTCCCTAGCTGATCAGCCTCGTAGAGCCGCTTCAACGTGGCGTAATCGCCGCCCAGGAAGCTCCAGGACTGGATGGCTGGATATGCACAGTAGACATTGTTGTCTACCGTGCGCCGTGATTTTGGAGATGAGCCCTTGGACCATATGCCGGCTCGACCGAAGGCTAAGCCGCGACTGTGGAAATCTGATTCCCACTTCAAGGTGGTGTCAGGTGTGCAGGGCAGATCCTTTTGCCAGCATCGCGTGCAGGCTGGTTTTCGTTCGTCGCACTTTAGCCGACTCTTTCGGCAATTAGAGCACCCGTGGTGACTTCGCGATTTGGCTTTCTTGGCTTGAGGGGCTGCTTCTGAAGGCATTTTCTCGATCGAGGTTGGGTTGATGCATAGACACACCAGATGCCCTCGGTCGATTGACGGGATTTGTTGAAAGAGAAAGCGGTCTTCTTTCTTTAGGGGCACTCAGAGGTACCTCAGTCCACGGGCTGATCTCGGGAATTACTCATGTCCCTTCAGACCAAAATCATTCGAGTCCAGTATGTATACTTGCGTCGGACAGATATCGATGACATTTGTCGGCACACCGGCTCCCGGTCAAGAGTCAGACATGATGCCATGCGAGGGCGAAACTCGGAGAAGGTCGACCCGACTTTAGAGTTCAACGGCGTCTTTAGGAAACAGACTTAGTGGGTCTGTTTCTCCTGCGTGGCCATAATTGGTTGTCATGAAGCCTCCGAACGGATTCCGTTTGCCTGTTCCACAGCCACAGGTTTTGTCTGGAAGCCCTCGGCCCTCCCCAGGAAGTGGGACATTGAGTTGACATGATTTTAAGAACAGTAGAAATGCGTCACTAGATAAGGAGGAGACTTTACAGTAGTGAATTGCTCACGATTCCAACATTTGCAGCTAAAAGCCTGAGTCACGTGTAAGAGCTTTGTCAGCATTTCCCTGGTGGACCCGATAATGATAGCTGCAGGGATGCGACCGCCTGAAGGGGCAATTAGGGCATGTTCCTAGGGCAATTGAACCATGACTCGATCTTTCATGATGGATCCGATAAGATTAATCTGACTGTCTGAACACCAGTCAGTTTTACGGGTAGTGGTTTCTATCTTCTGTCGTTCCATTCCTCACCTTAGCACCTGGTGAAAAATTGTTGAATGCCGGTATATATACTACAGCCGCATCAGTGAATAACCTGGGAGGCATCACCAGTAACAACCACAACCTACAATTCTACAGCAACATGAAAATTAATATACAGTCTATTGATCATCACTCTATCGTCTAGTCTATAGTAATTATTAAGCATCATAAGTCATCAATAAATTTACTCGCGAACGAGCACACCACGGTAGCGCATCTTGCCCTCACGGAGAGTGCGCATAGCATCCTCGATACCGGCGGTCGTGAAGGGGAAAGTCATGATGGTGGGCAGAACGTTCTTGCGGGCCGCGAACTCAAGCAGAGTGCGGATGCTCTCGCGAGAGGCAACCAGGGAGCCCTGGATGCGAACACCCTTCAGGACGAGAGCGAGCATGGGGACTTGAGCGGGCTCGAAGGCCACTGTGAGGGGATAGATGGAGCCACGGGTGTCCATGAGAGGGACGAGACTGTTATCCAGTGTTAGTTTCTCTTTTCTCGCTGGTGGTTATGTGTGAGGAAGGGGTGGTTGCTTACGAAGGATAGTCGATGGCTGCGCTACCGCAGAGAATCAGGTGCTTGAGGGGCTTGAAGTCCTTGGGAGCCTCCTCGCCGGACCGCCAGACGTGGTACTCGGAGGCACCGTAATCCATGGCCTCCTGGCGCTTGTTCTCAGAGCTGGACAGCACGACGACGTTGTAACCCATGGCGGCGGCAAGCTTAATTGCGATGTGGCCGAGACCACCGATACCCATGATACCGACGCGCTCCGTCGGGCGCATGGCGTACTCGGTGAGGACGGTCCAGACGGTGGCGCCGGCGCACATAAGGGGGGCGGCGTCGATGGAGCTCAGGCTCTCGGGGATGGGGAAGACGCAGTTGGCGTCCCAGACGGTGCCATAGCTGAACGAGCCGTTATCGAAGTCGTGGAAGCCATATTGCTGAACGTCGCGGCAGTGCTGGTCCCAGCCTATAGAATCGGGCTGTTAGCATTGCAGGCAGATAATGAGATTGTCGGGTAAAAGAAAAGTCTTACCAGTAGCGCAGTTGTCGCAGGTAGCGCAGATCTTGTGGATGTATCCGTATCCAACACGGTCACCGACCTTGACGGTGTTGACACCGGCGCCGACAGCCTTGATGATACCGATACCCTCGTGGCCGAGAACCTGGTTGGTCTTCAGGTAGTGCTCGTCGGTACCGCAGAGACCGGAGTGAGTGGTCTCGATGAAGACATCGTTGTGGCCGAGGGTGCTGGTGACCTTGTCAGGAACGATCTTGCCCTCCTCGGAGCCGCGGAAAACCTCGTAAGTGACGCTCATTATGAAAGAGTTATATGCGAGAAATTATTGAAAAAAAAATCACTTGATTTACTACCACTTCTTCCGGACCAGAAGGGATTATATACAACTATCAGACCTCGGAGTCCTTGCCGTCCATTACTTTCCATCCCGTCAAGTGGAACAGCCTATGGAACATTCTACTCCGAATCAGAAGTGATAACAGATTTTTCTTGTTAAACCGCAGACAGGATTGCAACTGACCGGCGGTGACGGACAAAAAAGAGATATGGGGCCGTGGAGCTTAAACCATGGAACGAGCAAGATAACCGTTACTCTAGCGGCAAGACAAGATCCACTCGATTCCACCATCGTGTGAAAAACTCGAAAGTCTCCGAGAAAAAACCGCGACGGAACAATTCAACCGCCCGGTCGCAGTACATTTTGCACAAATTGATATGGTAATTGTCCCTTTGAAGTCTCCGAGTGAGGCGATAATCAGACAATCATAATGGAACTTATTCCCGCGCGCGATCCACTTGAATCCCGACGGTTCAATCCCGAAAAAGGCCCTTTGCCCTTCTAGAAGATTGCTGCATGCTTTTTTGTCTACCCGTGTCTGCAATAAGAGGGTTCTTCTTGCCTGTATTCCGATTCTTGGATCCTTCCAGGTTGTTTGGGCTGGTGAGCCTCCGAAGGATTTCATGGTGGGCCTTTCTTGCAGAAAATGACGTCTTCCTACACGTTATGGAGCTTGAATCGAGTATCTTTTAGTGATCATTCTTCTTACCAAGCCCGGTCGGCGTCCCAACAGAGCTAGAAAGGCAGCGCATTGTGGATTGATACGTTCAAACTTCTGCTCGCGTTGAGCTGCAGGATTCAGTTACTTTCCAGTTGCCCTATTTTCTAGACAATTTTAGCGGATAACCAATTTGTGGTTAGGAGCATTGACAAGGACCTTGAGATGTGGCTTAACTGTCAGAACTATAATACTGCTAAATTTAGGTCAATTCTTGGTTTCACCGTTTCGAACGTCATGAAACAGACCGACAATAGTCAACTGTCAAGATTTGAAGCCCTGCTCTCCCACAATAGTCTCCTCCCTCTTCCTTTCTCTTCCATCAAAGACTACAACGTATAATACCATCCCTGCATTCCTTCAATAGATCTACCACTCTCTCTGGCCTTTTTGTTGACCCTCCAGAAATAAATGTCTAACCCCAGCGTCAGCACGATGCTGACCATGGTAATGGCGAATGTCACCCATATCCCGGTCGTATAGTATGGGCTTTCATCGGACTTGAACGCAACACTTGCGATAATACCCCCTAAACCCCCGCCGATCAGACAAGTCGCAGACGCGACAGCGCGTTTGGAATGCGATGTGATGTTGTTTGCTTGGAAGGCCAAGACGCCGGGAATGCAGAACTGAAGGACACCGACGCCTGCCAGAATCGTCAGTATGTGGAAAATATCGGTCGCATGAGGCCTAGAAAAGCAGTAGATATCATAAAAACGACGACAAAAACGCACCCAAAAACACCCCGAAATACCGCGCTCCATTGACCCGCCCATACGCGGTGATGATCATCCCCACGGCCGTGAGAAGCTGATGCACCGCAATCACCGGTCCCCGGATCTGGTACTTATCTGTCAACCAACCGGACAGGTAAGTCGTTGCAGCGGCGAGGATATACGGCGGTGCGCTGAGCAGCTGGCTCTGCGTGTTTGAGAACCCCATGCCCATTAGAATGATGGTTTTGAAGTAGCTGTATGCGTACCCGGGCAGCGTGGACGCCATGAGATTGAAGGCCCAGATGTAGAGCTTCCAGTCCTTGAGATGATGGAGGATGCGTTCGAGCGTGACGCTGTCTTCCTCGGCGTCGCCGCGATCGTTGTTGATTCGGTCGATGACGAATTGCTTCTCTTCGGGTTTGAGGAAGCCGTCGGCTTTGTGTGGGAAGTCGACTATGATGAGTCGCCCGATCAGGCAGATACCGCATGTGATGGCTCCTTCGACGATGAAGATCCCTAGATTGGGGTCAGCTATTATATGTAAGGTTATATTGAACAAGGGAGGAAGGACTTGCATCGCCAACCATTCAACCCATACGTCCCCTCGAGTAAAGTCAAGGCGTACGCGAATATAGCTGCAAACGCGTTCAGCACGACAGACAAGAGCCAGAATCCGGCCAGCCGTTTCCCAACTTCAAAACGCATGTACCAGCATGTAATGAGATATGTGCATCCTACTGAAGTTCAGTACCATTTCAGCGGCATCATCCGCAACGTGAAGGGCGACGAACCCGGAAGAAACCCTGCCTCCATCATGCCCAATAACGTTCGGCAAACGGCCATCGTAGACCAACTACGAGCAAAGCCCATGCCAATCAGAATTGCACCGAAGCTGGTGCCGAGGAACGATAACCAGTTTGCGGCACCCGCTTTGGGAAGAACAAGGTTCTGGATAACTTTCGCGTTAGGGTTAATCGGCTCACTGTGTGGGATGTGTTACGTACGCTGGGGATCTCAAAAACACTAAAGACGTAGGTTCCATGTCAGATCAGGTTTAATCCATGGCTGAGCCCGCGTGCATTGCGCCACTTACATATACGCCACGAAGAACACCATCACAATGATAGTGTATCGTTGACCGACGTCGAGTGCAAGGTCCTCTTGCATGCCTGCGACAAGTGCAAGACCGAGATTCGTTCGATCGATGAGGGATATCGAATACATCAGGCCGAGAATGGGAAGTAGACGAAGGTCGACGCGCCGACTAGCCCAGGATTCTCATTAGCTGCAATCTCTCAAGGAATGAAGATAGGGGAGTCAACGTACATCACCTTTTTCTGATGAGCTTCATCAATCCCGTATACGGGCTCACGCTTAACATTGTCGGTTTGTATATTGTGCTTCCCCTCCTCAAGCTGGATCGACTCCAAATGCTCCGCTCCAGAGCCTTTTTCTTCCAGGGAGTTACTATGTGTTGTCGCCATTATAGTATCATGAATAATGTAGTCGTAAAATTACCGACTAGGATGTCAATTGCAGACATAAATTAAAAGTCCGGACCCGACCATTTATCAACTCTCCCTCATAACCGAGATAGCCACGGGTGGCGTCAAGTATATACCCGACATCACCGCGGAAGTGTTTCCAATCTGGGGAATCTGGGGTAATCTGGTAGACTACCCCGCAGATTATCCTCCCACGCCAAGGTGGAGGGAGGACTGAACAGAACGGAGATTGGTCTGGAGAGCTTGGCATGGGAATGACGAGGATGCTATCTGCCGTGTGGGGTCTGGAAAAGAGCTTATCGGCCTATCATTCTAGAATGTGAGATTATGAAAAGGCGAGGATCCTACTGAGGTACGCTGTGAGGAGTCTCGCTTCTGCAGGAGGCGCATTAGGTTGAATATCTAAAATGAGGTCGGTGGTTGCGTTGATTGTCGCACATAGTAAGATTGCAACTGATTAAATCGGTTGACGAATGTAATAAGTCGCTTATTAGATAGTGTTTTAGTTGAGTGTTATAAATCATTCGGTCTTTTTGCATACTTTTAGGCAAAATACACGGGCAAAAGGATCAGACAAAAGAATGGTTTGTTTAGGACACCCATGATTTGATTCAGAATGGGTCCACCCAGTCAATCCTGCCTGCTGCTCTGCTATATGGACTCGGTTTGATTCACAGCTCGGGCATTTCGGTTCACAGCTTTACAGCCATCCGTCTACATTTTCCCAGAAGTATTAGTAGAGGCCTAACAAATTTCCTGTCAGCCGATTACGGATTTTGATTATGAGAAGCTCCCTACTCTAGAGAGAATGAAATCAGCCAGGAAATGCCATTGTCCGAGCAAGCACAAACGAATCTTGTATGTGACTAAAAGACAAATGTCAGATTGGATGTATTAGTGGGTGTAGGATATATTGGATGAGTTCCGTTTACGCGGGAAATATCTGACGAATATAGTTTGAATTTTGCTCTTGCCAATTTGAAATTCAGCAAAGTGTAGTAAACTGTGGAAGAACTTAAAACATAGAGGGTATTTCGAAATGAATGGTGGTGCGAAATCCAAGAAAATTAATTACCTACTTAATGAACAAATCAGTGCTTGTAGAGACCGAATCATGTGGATTTTTGTTCGGACCATTCTCCATGGGTTCACTGAGGCTTTTTCTCTTTTTCCTTTTCTTTTCTTTTCTTTTCTTTTCTTTTTTAAAAAAAAAGAAATTCATGAACCACAGCATATAGTATAACGAACGCGTCGAATACAGTGTTTCCTGGGTTAAACCCATGAATTCTTTTCTTTTCCTATATGTACTGTAGCGTCACCAAAGAAACATAATATACCCACAATCGAGAAGAAACCAGTTCACTCTATTCAACGAAATACAGAAACCAAAAACACCAATTAATTAAACACCGTGAACAAACAACCATTGAACCATAAAGCCATGAATATACCACCCCACATCTCTTTACCCCATCCAAACTCATCCAACTCTTGATCCCCCGATCAAAGCTCACCCATCTAGCTCTTGCCAGCCCGTTTACATACCAAACAAAGAACCAAGACCACCGGAAGAGCCCGAAGATCCCGAGGAAGAAGAATCATCATCGCTAGATCCCGAAGAGCCACTAGAAGAGCCACCTCCGAGCAAAGAACCCAGACCACCGGAAGACCCGGAGTCCGAAGATCCAGAAGAGCCACCTCCGAGCAAGGAGCCCAAGCCACCGGAAGAGCCGGACGAACCGGAGCCCGACGATGCAGACTGAGAGGCCGAAGCACCGGACGAAGTCGACGAGCCGGACGAGCCGGAGCCGGAACCCGAGGACGAGGAGCTGGAGCTGGACGAGTCCAGCTTGCCCTCGAGCCACTTACTCGCGTCCCCGGTGTTCGCGACGTAGGTGAAATGGGCAGGGCCGACGATGAGGGTTCCGTCGCAGACCATGTCGCCCGTGGCGCAGTAGATCTTGACTTTGTCCTTGGGGAAGTCGCCGATCTGGCCGTGCTCTTGGGCGTTACGGGTGTATCCGAAGAGAACCACACCCTTGATCTTGTCCTTCACGTCGTCGGGGAGCTTCTTGATCGAGTCGTCCATGACGGCTGTGCCTTGGCTGTAGCCACCTGCGACGATCTGGGTGTCTGGGCACTTGGATGCGGCTTGTTTGAAGAGTCCGACGGCCTCCTCGATGGCCGCGGGGGAGGTGTTGTCGGGCAACGCGTTGGACATCAGGTCGGCGGTGTATTTGGGTCCCACGCCTTGACAGGCGACTTGGCCGGCCTTGGCCATCTTGAGGTCGTTGCAGACAGCGGGACCGGTGGAGATTCCCTGTGTGAGGGGTTAGTGGTGTTGTGGGAGGATGAGGGGGTTAGAGGGGAGGAAGGAAACGTACGAGCAAACCGGGCTCGGTGGAAGCACGGGCGAAAATGAAGGTGATGGGCTTGCAGGATCCTTCGCGGAGTTCATTGCCACCGCCGCCAACTTGGGGACCGTTAGCAGTGTTCTCTCAATTCCTAAAGTGCATAGGTTAGGAAGGGGAAGAGGCACGTACGCTGTCGCTCCTGTAGACCAAGGGGAGTAGAGGCAGCTAGACTAGCTAGCGCGAGAGAAGAAAGACTGAACTTCATAATGAAAGAGTGGACGAGTGGATGAACGAGAGTGGTGGTGATCAATGGCTTTAGAGTAGAGATGGTTGGGGTTGAGTTCTTCAAGATTTCTCTAGACTCGCATACCTAACCACGTTTATTTATACATCTGTCCTTCAAGGGATTCTATCTGCCTATCTGGGCACTAGAAAAAACTCTGCCTACTCAACAAAACCAAAACCCCGATAAACATAATGACGACATACATTCACATGAGCAAATAGGCGTCAATCCTTCTCGTTCCTGATACATCAAAACTCCGACGGACAAGAGAGAGAACAAGAGAGAGAAAAAAAATGCGCAGAATGCAGACCTCGTTTCAGAGCGTCCCACCACAAAACCACCAGGGGCTTCACTAGTCCCGGAGCGCAGCAGATCGGAAACAAACCAGGCCTGGAGACGTTACCGCATTGATCAACCCCTGCGACTGGCCCCCCAACGGACTCCTGCAAGGCCGTCCTCCAAGTGACTAGTTAGGCCCTAACTAAGCCCCTAGTTAGCCTAGAGGGACCGCTGAACCAGGGTCCGGTCAGGAATCGATTGACACCCGTTGATCAGCCGAGGAAGTGACCCAAGTGCCTGGGTGTCCTGTCCTACCAGGGAATTCTGATGAATCGTCACTCGACCTCCCATCCCTTGCCTGAAAATCAGGGCCGATCGAACTCGAAATGATCCCGATCGGCTTAATTTCGGGGGGCAGTTCATGTCTCACTGCTTTTTGGGTCGTTTTGTTTTAGGGCTAACTTTATTCCCTGAGAACCGACCGAGGATGTTGGGCGCGTCGTTCCTCTAGGTTTCCATGGCTCGGTCTCTTACCCCAGACATGCTTGAACCACGGAGTAAAATTTTGTGGTTGACGATTTTGTGACATTTTTTATGCGCTAGAAGGCGATGAACAAGAGAGAAACAGGCTAATTCACATTGACATTGAGTCATCCGTACAAATTCCAAATCTAAATCTACATCTTCCACGATCCAGGTACGCACCCACGTGTATTACCCCAAACTTTGAAGATTCACCAACTCGTAATACCGTCCTTTCTTCCTCAATAGTTCCTGGTGCGTTCCGTACTCCGCAACCTCCCCTTGGTCCAGTACGTAGATCCGGTCTGCGCGCTGGATCGTGCTGAGACGATGAGCCACGGCGATCGTGGTGCGTCCGCGTGCCGCCTTGTCCAGCGCCGCCTGGACAACCTTCTCGGACTCGGAGTCCAACGCGGAGGTCGCCTCGTCCAGGAGGAGGATCTTCGGGTCGCGAATCAGGGCGCGCGCAATGGCGATCCGCTGCTTTTGGCCACCCGAGAGCATCCCGCCCTTGCTGCCCACGATGGTGTTGAATCCTTGTCTGTTTTGGATCTGTTAGCCAATTTTCCAGAACATGGAGAGAAGGGAGTGGTAGACGCACGGTAGCGAAATGATGAAATCGTAAATGTTCGCGTCCTTGCAGGCTTTGGTGACGGCAGTTTCAGGCACGTGTTTCTTGTTGCTCCCGAGTAAGATATTCTCGCGGATCGTTCCCTGAAACAGGGCAGGCTCCTGACTGACCAATGCGATGTGGCTACGGTAAGACGTCATATCTAAAGACAAGACGTTCTGTCCGTCCACAAACACCCCGCCTCGCTGAGCGTCGTAGAACCGCTCTAACAGCGCAACAGTGGTGCTTTTGCCGCTGCCACTCGCTCCGACCAAGGCAACGTATTGACCTGGATTGACGGTGATGTTCAGACGTCGGAGTATAGGCTGTTCCAGACGTGTGGGATATCGGAACGAGACGTCTCGGAATTCGATGGAGCCTCGCATCGTAGGGACAGGTAAGCCCATGCTGGCTCCGGGACTCAGTGGCTTGCCGTCAAACAGTCGTTTGAATTCAGTCGCGGCATGCTTGGCTTTCCCCATGTCTGGAGCGTGCGAGAAAATTGTTCCTGCGGCTTGCGCTCCGAAGATCACCTCACTGAAGCAAACGTAGAACTGGAAGAGGGTGTATTCATGATGTCCGACCAGTGTTCCACCGTACCAGAACCCTAACGCCATACAGAAGAACGGCAGGGCCTGCGAGGCGGCATACAACAAGGATGATTTAAAGATCGGGAGAATGTCTCGTTTGATCTGATCCCGCAGCTGGAGCTCATAGGACTGTAGAACTTCAGGTTCCATAGTTAGAGACGCCACCGTGCGAATCGCAGATGCGGCCTCGCAGGCTGAACTAGCGGATTTCTGGTATGCGCTCTTCGCACGGCGCTGGAAGCGATCGAGCATCCATACGCGAATAAAACCACATCCTAAGAGAACCGGCACGGCGGAGATGCAGACTAAGCCAAGCTTCCAGCCCATGATAACAGCGACCGTGAGGGAGGCTACTAGGTTTACCGACACGATCAGAATGGTACCTAGAGTGACACCACTGATGCCAGCCAGCTGCTTTGTTTCTGCCGACAGAGTTGTAGTTAGTGCACCAGTGCTATTCTCCTCCCGGTCGAAGAAAGAGACATCCTGGTGCAGCATGACGCGGAACGCCTGGCTTCGTGCGCGATAGATCATCTTCTCAGATCCGTAGGCAAATGACGTGCCTTGGATACTGTATAGGAAGAAGGTGACAACCCCCATCATGAGGAACATCAACGACCAGAAATTGGCATCATGTCGGAGCTTTCCATATTCGAAGGGTGGTAGACTCAGTGTGCTCACAGCCTTTGCGAACAACACAGCCTGCGATGGCTGAATACCTCCCGCGAGGATAGAAACACACAGACCCAGAATCAAAACCGGCCATTCAGGTCGATTGAAGGACGAAATAAACTTAAACAACTGCCACAATGAATAGAACTTCTCCTTCTGAATAGGCTGAATAGGCAGAAACATGGACAGTCGGGATTTGGGTCGCGATGAGACACCGGTCTTCAAGTCAATGTCCGAAGCATCATCTCGCAGTCCGCAATCCGAATATCCATCAGGGTACGGGTCGTCATCGAGGAAGAATGTTGCTTTTGAAGGGGTCAGCAGTTTGGGTGGCTCTTTTGCTGCTTCTTTCTCCTTAATCTCCTGGGCTTGGACCATATCGTAGTAGACCCCTCGGTGCTCCATGAGACGTGTATGGTGTCCTTGCTCGACGATGCTGCCGCCAAGTAGAACGACGATGTTATGAGCCTCCTTGATTGTAGACAGGCGGTGAGCAATAACAATAGTCGTTCGTCCTCTCGCTGCCTTGTCAAGAGCTGCCTGCACAATTCCTTCGGATTTGGTATCTAGCGCTGACGTTGCCTCATCGAGCAGTAGGATCTTCGGATCCTTCACGACTGCTCGTGCGATCGCAATCCGCTGTTTCTGGCCTCCCGATAACGAGAAACTGCCAATATTTGTGTGATAACCGTTCGGCAGCGCCTTAATGAACTCATGCGCGTTTGCCATTTTAGCAGCGTCCTTGATCCGTTTCATCGTTTTCGTCTCGGAGTCTTTCTCGAACTTCGAACCAATTAATCCGTACCGGATATTCTCGGCGATGCTCGTTGCAAACAGTCGCGGCTCCTGCGACACCAAAGACACTTGCTGGCGCAGCCATCGCAGGTTGAAACTCTGAATATCGTGGCCGTCCAGAGTAATGACTCCAGCAACCGGGCTGTAGAAACGCTCGATCAATCCAATAACCGTACTTTTTCCGGACCCTGACGGACCAACAAAAGCCGTTGTTTTACCCGCCGGAATATAGATACTCAGATCGTTGGCGACAATCACCTCCGGGCGCGAGGGATACACATGCCTTATGTTTTGCAGCACAATATTTCCGCGGACATATTCCAGAGTTTTCCCATCGGCCGAGGAAGAGTCGAGGGGCGACTCGCGATCAATAGTGCTGTACAGCTTCGACGCCGCCGCGACGGCATTCGACAGCGCTTGACCGTTCGGTGCGACATTACCTAGGTTGTAAGACCCCAGGATAATCGACATCAGAATGGTCAGAACATCTCCGGCCTTGATATCGGTATTCTTATCAACCAGGTATCGCGAACCCATCCAAAAGCCAAGTCCGTAGTTGAGATACATAACGCAGAGTAACGCTCCGACCATGATGGCGAAGGCGATCTGTGCTTTCATGCCGGGCTTTTCGGCATCTTTCAAGTGCGACTCGTACTTATTCGCCAGAGTCTCTTGAGCGTCGAACGCAACCACCGTTCGTATCGAGTCGAGAATATCTTCTGCAAGACTGCCGCCTCTTCCTTGGGATTCTAGTGCCCGTTTACTGAAAATGAGTGTGAAGGTGGAACATCCGCCCATGATGAGCAGTACCGCGACCAGCGTGGCACTGCATATCAAGGCTAGTTTCCAATATTTGATGTATGCGATAACGAAAGCGGTCACAAAAGTAGACAGTCCGGTTAACGTCAAGCCTACTTTCTCAGAAATTCCGTCTTGGATCATGTTCGTGTCTGCCGTGATTCGCGTGGTGACCTCTCCTGCGCCCAGTGTATCAAAGAAGGCAATGTTTTGTCGGAGGATGGCGCGCAGGTATTCCACCCGAATGCGTTGGACGACATGGTCGCCTGTGTAGATAAAGCCTACAGTGGCAATATAGATAGTGATGAATTCCGCGACGGCGAGGTAGACAAAGTATATGGCGTACTTGGTGAGTTCGTGGTGAAAGTGGGAGTAGGTGATTTGGTGCGCGGTAATGTCGCGAAACGTGGAAGTGAGGTTTCCGAAAAGAACCTTGACCGTGAGTATCTCTCCGTTCCCAGGGTGCTAGTTGAGATCATGGTGTTCAACTTACTGTAAACATGGGCAGTGCTGCACCGCCTGCGATTGCAAAAACTGAACTCCCAAGTACGATCGCGATATCCCAGCGACTTGCATAACGATAAATGCCGAAAAAGCCAACATTCGACACGGGCGCATGGAGCTGGCGATCGAGAACCTCCTTTTCCTCGTCCGACAAGGAGATGGCCGTGCTATCAGTCCCAGGGGACTGTTATGCGCTGTCAGCAATGTCGAATATCATATCGCGAAAAACCACTACAGTTACATCGAGGTCACGCACCTTAGGCAGCGGCTTCAGCAGGATGTCTTCCGTCAACTTCATTGTGAAAGCGCTTGAATCCTCCGAGTTGTAAGTTCAGTTTGGCATTTCAAGAGTGGGCCATTGCCCACGGTCGCAGGGGACGAGTATCGACTGCAATGGACACAGCGAGAGAGGTTATGTTACTCGCAGGAAGACTGTGAGACATACAATCTGACGCCGACCTGTCACAAAGAAACGAGATGTAGTGTCATCAAAATCAATCGGGAACAAAACCCCTGTAGAAACAACAATCGATCGAAATAGACAAGACAGGAGAGAGATAGGAGGACGCGTGACAGATGGACAGACTCCCGAAATCGAATTCCACCTCCGAGGTTCCCAATATTCCGCCATTACTCCGTATACCACTCACGCGAACGATCGGTGGCCCTCAACATCCCCTCCCCGATCATCAATGCAACCAGTCCACGGTTGTAGCACAATAGCCTCGACCACAGTCCATCCTCCCACGGACCAGGAACGGAGATCAACGTCCTCAGTACCGTGGAGTAAACGGTAGATCACATCGACCCCTTCATCTCCCGCGACGCTTACCCTGTGCGGCAGAGGAATCCGATTTTGGGATTAGCCGGCCACATGGGTAGGTAGGAGGCAGAGTGGAGCATTGCCAAAGCAGGACAAACAGGAGGATTATCCCAGACCCGTCAGAAACATAGAGTGCGACATGATGGCACCTCAATATTGGGCTCGGCGTAGGACCAGGAACACTGACTGGTCAAGTCTGTCTTTTGGGGCTCATTTCACATAAACAAGGGTTAAGTAATAAGCATCGAACGGGAGGAGGGACCTTGTTTCAGAATCCATGTATAGCCCCGACCGTTGCTGGATGGAGCAATGAGAAGGCGTGAAATTAAGTTGCACCGGGGAATGGAGTTCGACTCAAAAATTGGGAGAGTGACACAGAGAAAGTAAAAGTCGAGGCGTCACCGACTTTGGCAGATGCCACCGGGAACCCTGCCCGTTCGGTTTTAGCGCCGTGGAAATTCAGCCCTAATCTCAGGCCGGCTGCCTCAGGTTTGCGTTTATCCACGATCTACTCCTATCGGGCTCTGTTCGGGGCAGATGATCAAGGTTTTAGGACAGCACTCCTATTGCGTGACTGAAAGATATGATTGAGGTAGAATGGGTTTGTCAAATGGATATCTCGAAAAAGTGGAAGGTCAATCGCGACCCTAAGAAAAATAGTTACATAACAAAATGGACATGGACATAGACACGAATGAATGAGAAAGTGGAAGATAGACAGCCTTCGATTCCAAATCTGAAACTCTGCCGTCAGTTGGCTCCCTGTCGCTTCTGGAGTTTCACTTTCAGATCGGGCAACTCCCAGAAAGCGTAACACCGGCTCTCGCGCTGCCAATCCTTGACGCGGCCCATATACTGAGCATCGTAGTCCAGGAAGAAGCCCGCCAGCGTCAGTTGCATCATCTGTTTGGCGAAGTACTTGGCGATGCAGGACCGGCTGCCCACCAGGAATGGCTGCACTGCTTCCTTCTTGTCCGTGCATCCCGGTTCCGTCCAGCGTTCCGGAATGAACTCCCAAGGCGCGTTGAAGTACTCGGGGTTGTGATGCAGTGCGAAGAGCGAAGTGCAGATTTCAGTCTATAACATCACTGTTAGTTTCAGATCAAGATATGAGATAACGAGGGTCTAGACTTACACCCTCAGGAATGTATGTGCCGTCAACGTAGGCGCCCTTCGAAACACGAGGCCCACCAAGGGGCACGGGAGGGTAGAGGCGAAGAGCCTCGGTGATCACGGCATTGAGATATGGAAGATTCTGGACAGCCTCTCCGGACATGTCGTCGGCACTGGAGAAGGACGCCTGTAACTCCCGTACCAGTTTCGCATGGGCCTCCGGGTGGGTCAATACGAAGTAGATGGCGGCGCACAGGGCGTTCTGGGTGGTGTGGAATCCTGCCAACATGATGGCCGAAAAGTTCTCGGCAATTTCCTCTTGGGGTAAATCGCTGGTTCCAGCGCGTTCCATCACTTCGACCATGATGTCACGGCGGCCATGCGAGGCATGCAATTGCCTAGTGGGGCCGCGTTAGTGGGAGATGAAACAAAGACAGGAAACAGAGTTTTAACGGCGGCTTACTCGTTGATGAGTCTCATGCGGGCCTCTTCGCTGCGGGCTCGGATACCCTTGCGCAAAATTCGACGCAGCATCCACTTCATGACGGTGGGCACGCCTGATCCGTCGAATTGGTCGCGCACCGTAGCCCAGAAGAAGATACGAGGGAGCTGCTCGGTCCAGAAGTACGGCTTGCCTCGCTTGAGACATCCCAGGGGCTTGCCAAGGAGGACCTCGGAGACTGTGTCAACCGAGTGGCAGTAGAGCAATTGGTTCAGGCTCAGAGTGTTGTTCTTCTCTAGCTTCTCGTTGATAACATCGTGGAAGCGCAAGATACACTCCCGGACCACGCCAGCATGGGCACTCATACTGCCCGGGCTGAGCGAAGGACCGAACAGCTTGCGCACGCTGGAATGGTAGTCGGCATCTGAGGCCGTGAAGATGTTGCGACGGGAGATGCTCTTGTAGAACCCCGTCTTGAGGAAGGCACTGCCTTTGCCAGAGCCAGTACCATAGATGCCGCGCAGGCCCCTAATGGTGTTGGTCGTGGCTTGTCCGCGTGCAAATCGGGCAATCTTTCCATAAGAGTCATGCAGAGCGTTGAACTGCTGTGCACTCTTGCCAGCGAGGAAAGCCCATTTGGTTTCAATCTGAATTATTGTTAGAGCAATTGGGACAATAGAGAGAATTCTACTTACACCGCAGACGAACAGGTCCAAGACCGACCCAGGAACACCATTGATGGCGGGTCCCTTGGGCAGAAGTTGCAACAGAAGGATAGCGAGGCATGGGATCTAGTCTGTCAGCAATGGTCGTCTTCTTGTGCAAACAGACAGAGCATACCAAAACAATAACAAGCACGGGAAAGAACATGTTAGGGGCAGCGATATCCAAGATCTGCCCCGGAGGGAGAGCCATTGCGAGGAACACCATACTGACGACTTGTCCTGCAAGAGGTATGGGCAATGGATAAACGAGAGACAAAGTAACGAAAGACTTGACTTGACAACTTAGCCCCTTTCCAGAACACGAGACTCGATTCCTTATATCCTTTTCACGGTATTTGGCTCGGCGGTAGATAGATCCGCGGTATCACTAGTCGATTTTCCCGACCCTTGGGCCCCTCGTATGCTCATCGCAATAATTCTGATACATTCCCAATCTATGGAGTACTCCAGTAGGTAGGTATCGATCAGATGAATCCGGCCAAGGCCATGGGCCGTTTTGGGACTGTGCTCCACCGCGTAACAGATGGGATGGCCTGGTCTGTCGTTTCTATTGGACCGGGGAGGTCCATTAACCGAGTTGTTTCGAACCCCGGATTGTAGTGGAGTCGGTCGACCCTAAGACGACGCATTTTTGGGTGATCGGCCGAACCGCGAGCTTAAGCCGAACAGAATCAACGATCCAAAAATTGAAACAAAGTCTTGGTTTTTCTATGCCCCTTCCAGTTGAGTGATTTTGGGGTGGTTCAGGGGCTTCGACTTGTCTGCATATTGTGTCAGCGCCCTGTCAGTACACATGCGACATGTCTTATATTTATTGGCGATAGTCCCGTATTCCTCGACAGCTGTCTCTGCGTCCCCGCTGCGTTATTGGGGTATATTCTGTCGTGACTGCTCTGCGGCGTAGGCTATTGACTCGAGTCTTTGCCTTTACATTCGTATTATACTTTTCGTCTCTCCTTCAGAATGGCCGACCAGCAGCACACCAAGGTGCTGTTTATGGCCAACAGCGAACATGGCCAAACCAACATCATTCTGGCAATCACGCACGAGCTGCTCGTCCGCGGCAACATTGACGTTCACATCGCCTCATTCCCGGCGCTGGAACGTCGCGTTGAGAAGCTCCTGAGGGACAAGTCCCCTGCGTACGACGAATCGTACAGATCGCGCATTCACTTCCACACCGTCCGAGGGCCGTCCAATACAGATGTGTTCATCCGGACTGGGAAGAGAGGCGCGTTCCATCCCCCTGGATATCACGGCGCCGTGCTCGGTTTCCAGTCCCTCTGCGAGGACATATGGGGCTGGACCGAGGGCGAGTATGTCGATATCTACGAGAGCTGCGTCGAGATCATCAAAGACGTGCAGCCGTCTGTCATCGCGGCAGATTTCTTCTTTCTCCAGGGTCGTGACGCTGCTTTTAACGCTGGCTACACGGCGATTCTCATCAACACCACTTCTCTCACTCATATTGTTCTGGGCCTGCAGCCTAATTCGTCGCCGTTGTGGAAATACCCTCTGTATGTCTTTTCTTTCCCCTCTTGTAATATTCGATCCTCGCGTGTTAGTGCTAATTGCTGTCAAGTCCGGGAACTGGCTTCCCGTATCCGCTCCCCTGGCATCTGATCCCATTCAATGCCCTGGCGGGTATCAAAACCGCCAAAATGTACCACGGCAGTGGTCGCCGTCGGGAGATCCGGGATTGGAGAATCAGACACAAGATTCACGGTCGATTCCCCTTCGCCGATGCCTGGCGACCCGACCGCTTTCATCTCACGCCCGCCCTGAAGGAGCTGGACTGGCCGATGGATGTCCCAGAGAATATTCTTCCCTGCGGACCCATTCTCCTTCCTACGGCCTCAGTGCAGCAACAGGACCCAGAGCTAGCGGGCTGGCTGAACCAAGCACCTACTGTGCTGGTCAATCTGGGGACTCTGTATGCGCCGGACCCCAATGTGGCCAAGAACATCGCTGCGGGACTGAAAATGTTCCTGGAGGGGTGGAAGGGCGAAAAAGTTCAGATTCTTTGGAAGCTGCCGAAGCATCCGCATGACGTGGATGATGTGTATAGTCGGTCGATTGAGCCGCTGAAGAGAGAGACGCAGGAGGGGAGTGTTCGCATCGCGCCGTGGTTCGAGGTCGAGCCGATGGCTATGCTGGAGACGGGGCAGATTGTCTGCTCGGTTCACCATGGCGGTGCGAATTCATGGTACGAGGCGATTCAGTAAGTTTGACCTGTTCTTGCTTTATATTTGAACGCAAGCAACTGACCGTTGCAGAAATGGCGTCCCTCATGTCATTCTCCCCGCGTGGCAGGACTGCTACGAGAATGCCGCCCGCGCCGAGTGGATCGGCATCGGGGTATACGGCAACAAGAGTCGGGCTCCTAACATTAGTGCGCCCGAGCTCAGTGAGGCGTTGTTGAAGGTCATGAACAATAAGACCTACAAGGAGAAGTCCGTCGAGCTGTCCAAGCTCTGCCATGTCAAGGAAGGTCGCATTGCGGCAGCCGATAAGATCGTGGAGATTGCCCACAACCCGGAGAAGATGTCTATGGCCATGCCGGAGATCAAGGTCGAGGATCCCAAGTGCAAGCTGTACGAGGTGAAGAACCGTTTGGGCATGACGCTTCAGACGGCCCAGGAGCCCAAGACGGAGGGCAAGTCCACATCTCGGTATGTCATACTTCACCTTTCCCTCTCTGTCTCTCCTCCTTGCAGCAACAGATATTAATAATCTAATAGATCCCTCCTCCAAGACGCCAGCCAAACCCTTCTCGTCACGTCCCTCTGCAACGCCTGGTTCTGGATGCCTCTCCTAGGCTACTCCCTCCTCCTTGTCCCGCGTCTCCGCCTCGCCGTCCTCCTCTACATCATGTACATCAAATTCGTCGCCAAATCCCACACCACCGGCACACTGCCCTTCCGCAACGAATCCCTCCGCACCTCCTGGCTCTGGCGCGCCTACTCCTCCTACTTCCCGCTCACCCTCTACCGCAGCACTCCCCTGCCCCCTCACAAGCGCTACATCTTCGGCTACCACCCTCACGGAATCGCCTTCCGCGGCGCCGCAGGCGCCCTAGCAGGCGACGGGGTCGGGTTCGCACAACTCTTCCCGGGCCTCACGAACACCCTCCTCATGAAAGATTCCTTCTTCTTCACCCCGATTCTCCGCGAATGGCTCCTCTCCACTGGACTAAGCGGCGTCTCGCGGTCGTCGTGTATCCGACATCTCACGAAAGGTGGCCACGATGATCGAGGTATGGGTCGCGCCATCACCATCACGGTGGGCGGGAGTCGAGAATACAACCTCGCAAGACCAGGGAGCATGGACATTGTCGTGAAGATCCGGAAGGGGTTCGTGCGTGTCGCGGTACAGACGGGTGCGGAGCTTGTGCCGGTTATGGGGTTTGGGGAGAATGACTTGTTTGATCGCACGGATGTGAATGGGGGGTCGTGGGTTTTGAAGACGATCGCTGGGATTTGGGAGACCGTGGTGGGTCATAAGGTGGCGTTTTCGACGGGCAGGTTTGCCATCTTTTGTCCGAAGAAGGTGCCGCTGAATGTGGTTGTGGGGAAGCCGATTGAGGTTAAGCAGCAGCGGTGGGAGCCGGATGAGAAGTATATTGACGAGGTGCATGGCAAGTATGTGCAAGAGTTGAGGAAGTTGTTTGAGGATTGGAGGGATGTTTTTGCGGTGGAGAAGGGGGTGAGGTTTGAGGTTGTGGAGTAATTTGTATATGGCATGTTTTTATGGGGTTTACCAGTAATTAGGGATTTCATGGGTGGCGTTTGCATGGTATTTATAATTTGGGACATTCAAGTATTATGGGATGTATTCTGGATTTGAATATCGATATCACCGAATATCACATCTTTGCTGTGCTATCTTCACATGGTCTTTCTTTTCTAGTCTCTCTCCAGCCCTCCTCGAGTCGACAAAGTAGATGATTACAAATGGACCAAACGTATAATGTTGAATAGGCTTGATCGTGAATGCAAAAAAAACAATCGATTGCGCGATGAGTTATATGTATGACGTACCCCTTTCCAGGGAAAAGCGAACAAGTGTATATGAAGATGGCTGAGCAGAACTGAACTAGGATTAGAATGTACCAACACCAAACGCCACACAAAGCACACCCCCTCCTCTACTCCAAATACTTTCCCCCCGTCTCCTCATGCACAACATCAAACAACGGCTTCGCACTGAACCACCCCGCCCCATGCGTTCCCACCGTCTTATACGTAAACGCAGCGTCGGCATCATCGATCTTTACCGTCGCACCACCGCGTCCAGCAGCTGCCGCATCGGCCAGCAATTGCGCATGGCAGCATTTCTCAAGACTCACGAACCAAAACACCGTTTCTTCGACCGATCGACCCACGGTCAAGAGTCCGTGGTTTTGTAATAGCGCGGCTTTCTTGTCGCCGAGGGCGGTAGCGATGTTGCGGCCTTCTTCTTCCGCGAGGACGATGCCGTTGAATTGTTTGTAGACGACGTGGTCCTGGATGTTTTTGTTAGCGAGTTTTTTCTTTCTTTCTTGAACCAGTGGCCTGCAGAAGGGGCATGGCGGTGGACTAGGACTATAATGGGGTACAGCAGGGCAAGGGAAAGCAAAGAAAGGCACGATACATACATCGTAAAAAGCACACGCATCCTGCGTAATAATATCCAGCGGTCTACCGAGCGAGCAAAACGCCCGTCCATACAGACTGTGACTATGCGCCGCACACAAGACATCTGGTCTGGCTGCGTGGATGGCCGCATGGATCATGAACGCCGCAGCGTTGAGCATCCGCACGGGTCCTCCGTCAATGACTTCCCCCGCGTGGTTCACCTGGATGAGATCGGAGGCTTTGATCTGCGAGAAGGCGACGCCGAACGGGTTCACCCAGAAGGTTGTCGGGTCGACGGGATCGCGGAGGGTGATGTGGCCGGCGACGCCTGTGGAGTTCGAGTTCCGGTGGTTAGTTAGATATGTCTACCTAATGCGGAGGGAGATTGGAGAAGCAGGGGGGCATACCCTCGTCGTATCCGTTCTTGCCGAAGATTCGGAATGCAGCGGCGAGGCGGCCTTTGAGGTATTCTCGTTCCTTGAGCTTATCGTCGAAGACGGGGGGTTTGGGCATTCCCATTTTCACTTTTGCGTTTTGGGAACTCGCTTCTTGGGTGGATTGGCGGGCTTGGAGGGTCACGGAGGCGGTTTCGGTGGCGGTTGGGGGCGCCATTGTGCCGAGAATGATATGACTAGGGTATCAGGTACTTGGTGATGAAATGGTTGGGGTACTTTGAGACGAGAGAACCCGGGAATCCAGGTGGTTAAGTAGGCCAGGCAGATTAATCATTTCTTATCTGATCAGCGCGGGGTAAACTTCTGGCATTGCCGGTTTTCTGCTGGCCCGAGGCTGCGGGCATCCAATGATCCGCCACTTTTTGGCAATGGGTTGGACAGCATCCAGTGGATTCACGGAGTCTAGTTGCATGGTTGGAGCTGCATGTTTCCGGTCTACTCCACAATACATAATTCTAAGAATAATCCATCATCCACTCACCCGCCCACCCAATCTATCCACACGCCCAAATACCGGCATATTCCAACCAGCCAACTCTAACAATCAACTCAACCACTCCTGCCTATAACCATAAACATCACCCATCAAACACACCCAAACTCCCCATCCCACCGCTAAAAAAACTCAAGTCGTACTCCCACTAATCTTCACCACCCCCTCCCCCCCAACCAGGTCCACCCACTTGTCTTTCCGATGATACCAAATCTCCACCGCCAGGCCCGCACACCTCTCCCTCGATTCCTCATCCAGCGTGCCTGACTTAACGACAATCGATTTCCCCTCCGCTTCCTTCGGCTCCGAGGTCAATGGGGATCCGCAGTCTCCGCAGAACTGGCGCCGGATGAGCCCGTTGACGGCGGACTCGCTCATGTAGAGCTTTGGGGTGCCGGTGAGGAAGTGCAGCGCGGACAGGGGGATCACGATGTTCGAGGAGAAGCCGGAGCCGGTGTAGCGTTTGCAGCTGATGCAGTGGCAGAGGATCACCTGTTATTTCTTGGTTAGAGGGGGGGTTGAGTATGGGGGTGAGGATGGGGTGGTTCGTGGTTAATTGATGTGGGAAGGTAAGCTAGCAGACAGGGAGGGGGTGTAGACCTGAGGAGTAGGCTGATCGGTAGGGAGATCGATGCGATAGGTGATGTTCCCACAGAGGCAGGCGCCTGTGAGGGGAGATGGGTCGGTCATGATGTCAATTGATGGTCTCTCTTCTGGGCAGCTAACTAGGACCCGATAAATATGTATGGGAGGCACATGAGTTCAAAACTTCTGACCGGACCCCTGGGGCAATCCACTGTTTATGTACTTCGATGACGGCACGTGATAGGGTTGCTTGACCAACAGTCTCACTTTCTCTTGGCCCGGTGGGGATAGGAATCCATATAGTATACGAGGCTACGAGCTGTCAGGGGGTGGATCCTACTTCGTACTTCTGTGTGAAGGGGGCTGGCCCGGGGCAGAATACCGGAACGCGTTGTCCGCAGATTTTCTCGGATATTGGAGGATGAAGTAGTACCTCTGCAGTCATTGCAATGACTTGAGAAGCAGCAAGAAAGAACTCAATATGGGGGGATATGGGTATATTTCATGGAGCTAGGGGTACTCTGTACAAGAATGGGGATGAGGAGTTTACCCCTCACTCTTATCGATAAGCAGTGCAGCCTCAGGCCCCAACCGGGATACCTGTCTGGGCATCTCCACTAGAGGGGTGTCCTCTGACTCTGGACGTGACGGGCATCGTCGAGAATCGCATTCCACAGTTCCTGATCTTCCACCGTCATATCGTGAATTTGGTGTGGTGCACCGAGTAAAGGAACCAGATCACCCTGACAGACAGTGTCTGGCTGGGGCAACTCGCCGGTTTGGAAGTATTTGCGGATCGCTTTATTGACGCACAGGGAGGGCGCCGAGAGGGTGGAATGCTGTTGTTGGTTAACATAGAGTGTATCAAACTGGACGAGATTAAGAATTAGGGTTACGTACGCCCTCCGAGTCCTGTCGGAGCAAAACCGAGCCGGGGAATTTCTGGACCATATTTTCCGCGCTGATTGACGTGAGCAGGATTCTTGTCTCATCCGAGTGGGGCATTACCTTCGCAGCGGTGTGACCGGGTCAAGCAGGTTGCTGACGAACAGCAGTGGGTGTGAAAGATTCGCAGAGTAGGGCCCTGCGATTTCATTAGTCCTGTTCGTGATGAAAACCCGGGGTCACCGACCTGGCACCTTCCATTTGGCTTTCACGTTCCATCCGATGCATCCCAGCCCGATGTGGGCCCAGTAGTCCCCAAGCATGGTGCTGTCTTCTCGAAGTCTTTCCCAGTCTTGCAGGAACCCCTCTTCGTCCATTGCCTGCAGATACTCCGCGTCTGTGCAGAGGACTGCCGCGCTCGCATAGGCTTCGTTCGTCCCGGAGGGCTGGCAGGAGATCGACCACGGTCCGTCAAAAAGACACTGCGGGGACGGACAAGAGGGTTGACGGCTTTTCTGTTTGAAATCGGCGACCTCAGTCCCGTCTCCGTCCGAGAGTGACTTCGCGTGTCGTGCTAGTAGCGGGAATCCGACCAGGGGTTGATACATGGCGATGCGAAGAGACAGCTTCAAGTCCGTCCACGTGATGATTTCTGGTCCTCGCGTGTCCGATGCAGGAACGGGGATAGAGGCATTGTAAAGCTTGTCTTCCAACGTGCGATATGCCTGTTTGATTGCTGCCTCTCCACCCTCGCGATAAAACGGACAACGCTCTGCGCCCGCGGTAGCGCAATAACGTGCGAATTGATTGAAGATTTGATCTGCATCGATGATGGAGTTGTGCCCTTTGTTCGAGTAGTATTTATCAATATCAACGACACCGTCAAGTACGGCTCGCCCAATGCGGTCGGGGAACATCTTCGCAAAGATGGACCCCAAGATGGTGCCGTAAGAGCGTCCCCAGTAGAGTAGTTTCTCATGACCGCGATTCCATTTTGTGCGCCTTGCGATAGTTTGTTCCCCATCAGATCCATATAGACGGTCGCTTCGAACCTGTTCCGCCTGGCCTTGCATTTCCCGCCACTCGGCGTGTCGCTCGATGATTTCAAGCATATCGCGAGCGACCGGAGGGGTATTTACATGCTCTCCTAGCGCTTCTTGCTCGTTCTCCGGCACTGCAGACAGCCTCGCAGAGCACCCCGTGTTCAGAGCGAGCGTGCGCTGCCAGTTACGCACAAATGCATCGCTGGAGCTGCTCAACATGCCTTCTGCCTCGGCCTGTAGTTCCCAATTCTTCTGCGAGAAGAGATTGGGAAAGCAGCCGAACCCGGGCGTAGTGTTGTTCACTCCACGAGGGTCGAACCCGATGATGTCGAAGTATTGGTAATGGCTACTTTCTGGGTCGTGCTCTGCCGTTGGATCAACGCCTGCATCGACGATGGTTTGAAAGTTTCGGCCAGTGCGTAGGACCTGCGCCACGCCGGAGCCACCGGGACCGCCTATCCTGGTCAGCAACAATGAAGACGACGGTGGTGACGCAGAACCATACCGGGATTAATCAAGATCGGACCCCCGTAGCGAGGATCCGTCACCGGCACTCTGGCTGGGAGGCGTGTAACTGCAATTGCCACGCGACGGCCCTTCCCGTCCGGTCGATTGTAGTCCATCGGCACTTCCAGACGGGCGCACCGAAAGCCCTCAAAGCAGTCATGGTATTGCAATGACGGCGACGGAGTAATCTGTGGTCCATTAATAGCTGATTGGCAGGCTAGAATTTTAGTCGTACCTGGTTCCAGTTGAATTCTTCTCCAGGCTCGCTAAGACTCTCGAATATATGAGAGGGGAACAGCCACCATATCGACAGCACTAGCGCTATCAGCGCCAGCGCAATAGACCGGACCGCATGTCGTCGCGGGGAATAAACCACAAACCCTGGAGAGACGACACGCTGACAATCGGTGAACGCTGCCTGTTTTGAGTCTTCCATATGTCCCACTCAAGATGCCGTCATTGACAGTCGGAAGAAAAGTGGGACACCCGCGCAGAAATAGTCAAGGAATGGGAGCCCGGTCGCACGAACTCGCTCGCATGCAAGATGATTGCCACCGTCCAAGACACCGGATTGCAACCGCGAATGAACGCAACAGATTGGGAATGTTCAAAGACCGATAGGTCAAGTGAAAAAATCCATCAGGGATGGGATGGCAGGCTGGAATGCCCAGAACCGAGATCGGTGGGTGCAAGTGGGATGGATCAGCATGGTGGAGTCGCTTGATTGGCACACGCGTCTCACCTGCATATCTCTGGGTTCATTTGCCCGAGGCCTGTCACAATTCAGTCTCTTGCATTATTGCAGGGATGGACACATTGCGCTCTTATCGCGCTCTTATCGCGGCATATGGAGTGCACGCATGAGACCGGGGAGTCAAGATATAACAGCCAAATGATGATAAGAAATATCTATATAGAACAACACCCCGAAAATCTATCTATGATACAGGAATGATAGGATAATGTACCGAGAAACACCAACTGTCCGGCAGATGGCAGAGAAAGAGAAATTTTCACAGTAAATGGAGGGCCCTAGGAAGGAATAACCGTATCAAGAAGAATCCTTTAGTCAAGAACAGATCCTCCTTATACCCTAACAACTTTTCATTATTGAGGAATGTTCACCTGCGTCATCTTTTCGACTTCCTTCTGGTAGGATGCCCTCTCGGGGGGATAGCGCCCCCAGTGCCCGGACTCTCTCGGGCAGCGAAGCCTCTGCCTTCTCCAAGGAGGCGACCAAGGCATGGAACGAGTCTTCGTTGGGATGTAACTCTGAATTCTGACAGGTTTCCGGCAGAACGCCTTCCCACAACTTCATAGATCGCTCGGCTTCGTCAAAGAGATGTGGCATCACTGCCTCCAAGCCGCTGAGGTGGCGCATGAAATGGTGAACGGATTGGTTCTCGCGCTGTTGGGGGTGTTGATACAGCGACTCCGCGTGGTTGGGTGTATACCGAGTTGTCGGCAGCTACTGGTCAAGAAATTAATGGAACTGCCGCCAGACATCGCCCGTCCCTTGCGAGTGTATCATCCAGCGGTCGGCAAGACTTTGGGACACGTGCCGCAGCGCTTCCCGGACCTTGTACGGGTCGTACTGGAAAAATAGCGAGTCCGATGAGAAATGCTCGGCTAGCTTGCGCTTGAACGCCGTGAATTCCTTGCGGCTGGTTCCCTCGTAGATTGTAGTTACAGGGAGCGATCTCCCCGAATCGCAGTATTGAACCCATGCACCATCGTCCCTGGTTATTTCCAACTCCATCGATTCCGAGCGTGAGCGCTTTATTTTCCTAGTCGCATGATGTCCCGAACCTTCCGGCGCCTGTAGAAGTAGATTGGGGGAATCGTCTGGCACATGTGTTATGGGAGGAAGAAGAGTCTGGCGGAAATTTTGCAACCCCGTTGCTCGTCGGCAAGTCGTTTCTGCAATTGTAGTAAGGTTTTTTCTTTTCTCACGCGTGCGAGCTCATTTCCCCCGTGCTGGATTTGGGAATCTATCTGGTGGGTGAAGACGATTTCGTTTCTGGCCCTTTCCGCGTGGAGTCACCTTGTCGTTGTCAATTTGTCCCGACAGTCGAGCAGGGAGGCGTAAACGACTCTATCCCTGTGGCCGCGGGAGATGACTAAACGCGATTACATCATCGCCTTGCTTGACCGGACCGATTATTCAACACGATCCACATTGAATCGTATGATCAGAATCATACAATTCCTCTCATTTTATACTGATCAAGAAGCCCCTGAAATTGCATAGATATCGGCTTCTTTATCGCGTAGTTAGATTGAATCAAGACCTTCCTTCATTTCGAGTATGAACATATAACTAGTTAGTTAACGTATTTCACTCCCGAGCGCCGCACCTCCCGCCAATTCCTGCCCATGGGCTAAATACTATAGAGCCTTTATCAATTAAACAATTGCGTTTCTGTCTAAAAGTCAATTAGGAACTCGATTAGGACATTGCAATCGTCTATGTCCTAGATTATGGCAATCACTGCAGCGCGGTGGCGCTCGTACGCGCAGCCTAACTGCAGAAAACGCTGGGTCTATAGGAAGCGCATCTTGAGCTTCATGGACCTCATTCTCGCGCTGAAATCGCTCTAGACCCTCTTAAATAGCCGATCCCTCTGTAATATCTAACTTTCTAGTAGGGTGCTTTCCTTTTTGAAGCTGCTTTTCATGAGAAGCGCGTAATTTATGTATTTTTTCGCGTGTAAGAATAAGCTCATTAAGATGTAATTCATGACCTTTAATAAGCTTATCAAATCGCGTCTCTAGCGAAGATGAAAGGCTCTGTGTACGCGCTTTAAGTAGCTGCTTCACGGTAGATGCCTACTTTTCAAGCTGCCTCGTAGTGTACGGTGTCTTAGGTGCTGCATTGGTTGATCGACTGCCCGGTAGTGTAGGGGTCTTTAGTTGAATATTCAGCTGACTGAGCACCCTATCTGGATTGAATGGAACCAGGCCAGCGCCTGCGAAGCTATTCCGAATAGTCTCTATTTGAAAAGCGCGTTCACGAGCTTGTAAAAAAGCCTCTAGGAAACCAAGCTTATAAATATGATTGATTTCTAAGCGTGCTTGCTTCTCCACTAAACTCCCGTATGCTTTTTTTAAAGGCGCAAAGCAGCCCACGTCCAGAGGCTGAAGCTTGTGGGAAGAATGAGCTGCCATACAGATAGGAATAATATTATTCTTACTGCATATCTGGTCGAATTGAGGCGTAAGATGGCTGCCATGGCCGTCGAGAATAAGAAGACGATATCTTCCAGTTGTACGACCAGTAGTAGTAGGAATAAAGAGATTTTGAAGCCAGCGAAGGCCTATCTCATCAGTAGTCCATCCATTAGGACTAACTTCAATCCTACTATCGCGTGGGAGCTTAATATCTTGATACCAACCCTCTATATGGACCTTCCCTTTAAAGATCACACATGGAGGAAGGGCCCAACCAGTAGAGTTGATACATTCAATCGAAGTAACCCATTCTCGATTGCCTGGCTGTACAAGAGATGCCTTTCCATAAAAATCAGCTCTAGTAACTACTTGAGCAATAGCTACTAGACCCATAGCGAAGCCAGTCTCGTCAAAATTGTAGATATCTTCCTGTGCGATCCCATGCTGCATTATAGTGATTTGTACGCGAGCTGCTTCACGAATGCTAGAGATTTCTGCTTTTTTTTTAAAAAAAGCGGAAACTGCTATTAGGGACCTACCTTCTTTCCATTTCGAATCTTTTGAAATTTGACGCGCTTTTGGAGGCATGGTGGGCAGTTGAATCAAGGAAGGCAAGACGACGCGTAGATTTTTGATGAGGTGCGGCGCTCGGTAGTGAAATACGTTAGACTCATCCCCATAGTGCCCCTGGGGAAACGCGACCGTGTTGGCATCACGTGCCGGCAGATACGATCAGGCCGCAACAGGCAACCAACTTAGTCAGCGCCGCATCATCTGAGCAGCTCCGCCGCTGCTGCTCTTCTTGCTCGCGTTCTCTCATTGCTCGTGTTCTCGTACCATCGCCAAATGCAGCAGCCTATCGCCTCGTTGCCAGCCTAAATGACGTGGTGGTTGTCGCTTCACAATCGCCGCCATTTGCTTGGAAGTGAGTTTGGCCGTTGTGGATCACTTCCATATTCCCACGATGAGTTGGTTGATGTAACCATAAAAACTCGACAATCGGCCAGGGGCAAGTAGGGAAAAGAAAAAAAGACATGCAGAGATTTCTTCATCCCTCCGGTCTCTCGTCACCCCAATGGAAAGTTGGTGACATTGTCGTCGATCCCGGACTGATCGGCAGCCTTAGCGTGCGAAGAACACCATCGCCAGGGAAGAGTTCAGTCGGCTGATTGGCAGCCCCTCACGCTTGCGTTAGGGGGCAATCCGGCCAGTCTCCTCATTACGTCGATCACATCCGACTGACTGGCAATCCCTGCTTCGACTCTTCATTCATCACGCCCACTTTCCCCCGGATGACCGTTTGGCCCGTTCTCTCTGTCGGTTGATATTTGACTAAACCCCCGATCTTGGCAATCCCCTCCATGACTGGGTCTGACCTGCCGCACCGTCAAGAAAGAGCTCAATACGAGGTGTGTTCTTCGTGTTGATTTCCTTGCCATCCAGGTCCTTTTTTTCCCAGCTCAATCATTTCCGTGGTCTCGCATGTATCTAATTCTAGGGCTTTAGTCGGGAAAAGGTCGCTTTTTGCCGACACTAGGGTCAGAATGCTGAGTGCATGGCTGAGGTGCTTTCGCCCGTCGCAGGAGAACGAAAGCATCGCCAGTCCCCATCCGTCATCCATTTATGACGAGAAACATCCAGACTATGAAGTCAACGTTCAAGAGTCTGTCTCGGCGGTACCTGCCACCGGTGCTGCCAAGATTGAAGCCGTCGAAGCGGTAGGAGGTCGCAAAGGACGCTATTTGCTGTACGCGGGGTATGTGCTTCTTGTCACCGTTTAGTGGTAGACCTGCTGATGATATTTTTCTCTTCGCTTTCATCAGGCTGGCAATGATCATGACCATCTAGTGAGTTTGGTGCATTATGTGGACGTCAACTTTCTAACCACGACCTCGCAGTGAGCTGGACACATCCACCGTCGGGACATATCGCAATTTTGCGACTTCGGATTTCGACCATCTTTCCATGCTGGCTACTCTGAACACGGCGGCCAGCATCATCTCCGCCGTGTGTAAACCCCCGATCGCCAAAGTGTCCGATGTTCTTGGTCGCGCAGAAGCGTATATCTTTACCCTCGCGTGCTATATCATTTCGTATACACTTTGCGCATCGTCCAAATCCTTCAACACCTTCGCCGGTGGTTACGTCTTCTACTCTATTGGTCAGGCTGGGATGGCCATCCTCAATGCTACCGTTGTCTCAGACATCTCGTCCATGCGTTGGAGAGGATTCGTTTACAACATTCTCTATGTGCCATTTTTGATCACCCCGTGGATCTCGGCTTTCATCGTCGACAGTGTGGTGAATGGAATCGGCTGGAGATGGGGTATTGGCATGTTCGCAATCCTCATGCCGTTCTGCGCCAGCTTCATTATCATCACTCTGCTAGTGTTCCAGCAGCGGGCCAAACGTTCGGGTCTAATATTAACCGAGGGATTAAATATCTATGACTTCTGCTCGAGAATCGATCTGGGTGGTATCATCCTCCTCAGTGGTGGATTTACGTTGGTGCTCATCCCAATCACATTAGCGGCCACCACGACCAGTCGCTGGCAGACCCCCTGGGTGGACGTTCTGATCGCCCTCGGTGGTGTGGTGCTGCTCTGCCTTTATCCGTACGAGAAATATCTCGCGCGACATCCGGTGGTTCCCGTGCGCTACTTCCGCACCCTCTCTGTCGTTGTGTCGGTGGCCCTGGCTTGCGTCGACAACATCGGCTTTGGCAGCACACATACATATCTCTACATCTGGTCGATGGTCTCACACAACTTTTCTCCGCGCGACGCGCAGTTTCTGAACTACACCAACGCCGTGATGCAGGCCTTGGTCGGCATGGGCACTGGACTGCTCATGTACCGCATGCGCTCGTACAAGTGGATCGGGGTGATCGGGGCGGTGATCCGAATGGTCGGCTACGGTGCCATGGTCCGACTGCGCACCAACGCCAGCTCTACAGCGGAGCTCTTCGTCGTTCAGATAGTCCAGGGCGTAGGGAGCGGTATCATCGAGACCATCGTTGTGGTCGCGGCACAAATCTCGGTGTCCCACGCGGAACTAGCGCAGGTTACGTCATTGACGATGCTGGGATCGTTCCTTGGCAATGGCATCGGCTCGGCGATCGCCGGGGCCATCTACACGGGGAAGTTGCGCCACCAACTCCGACTGCATCTGGGCTCGGGCGTAAGTGAAGACAAAGTTGATACTCTCTATAATTCCATTACGGGAACATTGCCTCCGTGGGGATCCACGGAGCGGGGTGCAGTGAATCAGGCCGTAAGTTCATTAACTATTCTTTGTCGATCGAGGACTGACCGGGCGCAGTATTCCGACGTGATGGGCTACATTACGATCGCAGCGCTCGCCTTCTCCGCCCCCGTAGTGATTTTGGCGCTGGTTCTTCCTAACAAGAAGCTGGGGTGTGTATACCCCTTGCGTTTCAGTCCCTTGCTTTACTCAGGTTGCTGATCTTCACTTCTCCTGCCAGGGACGGACACAATTTGGTTCAAGATGAACAACCCCCGCGCACGTCTCAGGCAGCATTAGTCGACAAGGAAAAGCGATAATGTACTGACTAACATGATTGGAAAT